ATTTCTTCAATCTCTGTAAGTTTTCGAGATTTAGCGATAGAATCTTGTCGTGATAATATTCCATGAGTTCGATTAAGCAATGTCGTATAAGGAAGGTACTTTATAGACCCGCGCAACCTTCTTAACTTTTAAATGTGGGTTCGTACGAAGCGTATTTAACGCAAGAATCATATCAGACTCTGTCCAATGCTTAATCATTTTGTTTGTTAAGAAAAAACGCGCTCTGAATAAGTTTGTGGAGTGCCAAGAAAAAAATCCATTTCGCTTGGGAATCCAACTCGCTTGTGGACTACGTTACTCATTAAACTCCAAAACTTTCGCAGCTCGCACACTACAATGACTTGGGTTTTCTGGTGAGTTACACACATATTTAAGTACCAAATGTACGCCACCAAAGAGATTACTGTGCCTAAAATTGCCATCAATGTTCACAACCCTACGCAAACTTCGCTACTTTCAGTACTAGCACCACCACTACAGCCAAGCCGCTTGATGGGTTCTTTGGTGGCCCGGATGATTGACACAATACCTTTAGCTCTAGAATAAACCAAGCTCAAACTTGGAGCTTGAGCTCGAGCAGCTGTCCTTTATATTTTACACTGAGATTGTCTTGATCTTAAGAACAAATCTTTAGTAAATACTTGATCCGCAGGCGTCACTGTCTCCATGTATGAAGATCCATCACAGTGCATTTACTGGTAGAATTCGCGCCGGTTTATCTCAAATCACCCCGCAGTCCTACCCAATAAAAAGCCAGAATGTCACTCGATTCCAATGCCACAAACATTGAAAAAGACAATGCAATATCTGAGAAATCAACGTTGATTACCTTAAGCAAGATAGATACTACATTTAAAGAGTGTTTTGAACTAATCTGACAAATCACCTTTGCTTCCACGAAAAGCAATCTCCTGAATCAAGAGTAGTTGTTCCTTCCTATCAGACCCTTAGTCTTCGCGAACAACTTATAGTCTCGAAGTAATGATAGCCGAGAGTTCACCTGGGGCGTGGTAATTGGGTACCTAGTATCATCGATCAGCATCAGCCCATCCACAACAGAAAACCAAAGTAAGTTAGAAAGGGTTATAGAAAACCAGGCCTACCTTCATATCCAAATCACTCCCCTTGTACCCCAAATCCTCACCCACAAGCATCGCACACTTCTCGCCAATCAGAAGCGCAGTGCTATAAGTGTTACACCCAACATTATCAGGACAAACACTCAAATCCGCAACCTTCAACCCCTTGACCCCATGAACATTCAACCTCTCATCCAAAACCCCATGTTTCACAATACTATTCCCCTCTTTCGGAGCAATGGAGCATGTTCCCAAAGAGTGCCATGTCGTTTCGACGTGTCTCTTCACCCAGTCTTCGACAGCTTCGATGTCGGCATTGGAGTACTTCAGGTCCTCGTAGAGGGGCTGGGAGTTGGAGTTAAGGTATGTGGCTTTAGGGTCGGTACCCGAGCCGATGGGTTGAGACCATGAGCCGTGTTGGATTCCAGCTGAGATGTTGCCAGGTAGGGCATAGGCTTTGGTGGTTGCAAGATCCATGTCGCGGGCCGCGGCGGGGGAGTTGTAGGCGTACATGGGATGCATGTTCTGGACTTCACCGGCATAGGAATCCATTCTTCTAGCTGTCTCACCTGTTGATTTGTCAGTTGCTGGCTTTTAGTGAGTCGAAGTGGAAAGGGGGTAGGTACGGGATTTAATGTATCCCCAAACCATGGGTGCCATATCCCTCTCATCGTTCATGAACCCTGCATCAAAGTCTGGAGCTTCATATGGATCAGGCGAGTTGATAAAGGTTGAGCCACGCGAGAATGGATACTCCAAGAAGTGGAACATGGTGAAGAACTTTCCCGGCGGCATCAACATATGGTCTCCAAACCACCTATACCTAATCAGCAACTCGCTTATTAACGATGAGAAGAGCGAAGCTTACCCAGCAATGACCGAATAATGCATAACAGGCTTGTCAGGTTTGTTCTTAAAGTACGAATCCCAACCACTCTTGAAATGTGGTGTAGGCCAGGATTCAATCTCCTTGAGCTCTTCCTCAGTGGGTCGTATCTTAACACCGGCATCGATACCATTAGTGGCGAGAGGACCAGTACCCTTGAGATTCCATTCGTCAAAGACCGCTTTCTGGACCTCTGGAACACCTCGAACGAAGTCATCGAACGACTCGGTGTCGGGTTTTGCGCGGTAGACTGACTGAGTCAATATGTAAATAATGCAGAAGGAAGAGGTCCTTAACGTACCAGAGAAAGTCAAGTAATGATCTTGGAAGTTCAGACCCACACCAGGGAGGTCCACAATAGGCTTGACACCAACCTTCCTCAATTTCTGCGCATCACCAATTCCAGATCGCTGCAAGATCAATGGGCTCGAAAGTGTACCTCCGGAAATGATAATCTGCTTTCTGGCACGGAAGGTGCGTGATTGTTGCTGCTTGGGGGGACTCGTATCAACAATGTTTAGCTAAGGGAATGATGGGTACTTACGGATGGATGGAGAGGCTTTGTTGGAACAGTGCGAACACCAACAGCGCGTCCGTTCTCAATTATAACTTTGTCGACTTTGGTGTTGCATTGGAGGTGTAGATTTTGGTGGACGGCGCGTGTGGAGTGGACGTAAGCGTGAGCCGAGTCACTTCGTCGCCCCGTCTGATAACCTTTGTTAGCAACTCTGAGAGACAGGGCCTTTGTGCAACTTACATCTCGATTAATCCATTTGAGCCAATGCTCAGCACCACTTTAATTTGTTACCTATGACATACATATCACAATTCAGAGGTGGGCATGACTTACTGTCCAGTAGTCAAATCTTGGAGGTCGTCAGTCGTAGGGATGCCTTGTGATTCAGCTGCCCTCAAGAAATCCGACATGATAGGATATGTATAGTTGCCAAAAGAAACTTTGATTGGACCCGAATCGCCATGGACACCCCTTCGGACAAATAAGTTAGCCTCTCAAATCACTTTATGCTCTAGGAACTGAGGTCATACTTATTATTGCAAGAACGTTGATATGTCTCATGCTTCCTCATGAGAGGAATCAATTCTTTTGTCGACCAACCCTTCGCTTGGAAGTCATCGTAGTCCGACGCCGAAGCACGCGTGTACATGAGGAAATTAATGGATGATCCTCCTCCGAGAATGTGGGCACAAGGCACAATAGCCTTTCGACCGCCAAGCCATTCTGATGGTCGAGAGTAGTAGAAGGACGCAGTTTTGCTGTCCAATTTCATGTTACGGGGATCTAGAAGTAAAGTTAATGACGGTAGACTTAAGCGAGGTATGTCCCTATACAAATTCCAGGGCGGAAGACATTTGGGTTGTTCAAGTTGCTTTCTCCGCCTTCGATCAAGAGTACTTGGAGGTTATGGTCGAGGTTTGCTAATCTGTTCAATAGAGTTAACCTTATTCTTACCTTATTCCGACCCCATAACAAGGAGGGGGCCGGGAGAGGAATAGACAAACCTCCCAGCAACGACACAACCACAACTGCCACCTCCACACACAATAATATCGACCTCGTCCAGAACCGTCATCTTTGATTTAGCTTTCAGTACCTTCCAGCGATATGTTATGAATAAGTGTTCCCAGCTTCAATTGATTCTGACGAAACAAGTTCAATTTGCTCGTCTCAACTTTCAGGGAGAATAACACTTTCCTTTTACTCCTGTTATCTCCTCATTAACCCCTCTTGACCCCGCACGAAGTAAGTGCAAAAGAACTTGGCTAAAGCCCGTTTCTGAAGTCCTCCCTTGTACTTACAGCTAGAGCCCACAATTCAATTCGCTCCATTGGACTCCCAAAATATCGATATCCTGCAAGCTGCGCCTGCTCGCCAACCCTTAGAACTCAAGAGACTTCAATTTACCCCTCATTGATGAAGGAAACCACGGGGGGCTTGGGGGTTGCTATTCGGTGTGGTAATTGGGAAAGTATGAACATGATTGACGCGGAAGCAGTGAGTACGGAAAGCCTCTTTCTCGCATAGAACAATGGAAATAACTCGGCAATTAAAGAGAGACGGTACAGCAAATGGGAGGCAAAGGAATACCTTATGTTGACCAGGTTTGCCACGGGGCTGCGCTATGTTGTATTACTCTGGTTGCAGTGTGTGCTACCCCGCAATTGGGGGTCTTGTGGGGCTTTACAGTGATATGGCAGCAGCTGTAACTAAATAAAGACAGAGAAAATGCTATCGACGGAGGTAAGTAGTGGACGCAAAAGGATAGCTTGATATGTGCTGGTATTTAACTTGAGTCTCGAGCAATCGAGTAGGCACACACTCGAATGACCTCATTGTCGAATTTTCAAGTAGAATAAGAATCAAGAATACAGATCGGGGAGGAAGAAGCCCGAGCAAACCGAAATTTCCGATGAAATTGAGAGAAGGGTCGGTTGCTGACTTCCAGTCGTGCCAATAGATCTCGGGCAAATGCCATAACCCGCAGCGCCTCGTCTCAGCAAGCAATTAAGCTGAGCTTTTATTCCATCGAAAGCCAAGATGATGACAAACGATTGCATCCACCTCAAGATTGTATGTGTTGAAGAGTGGTTAGAAGCGGGCAAAAGGTTGTTAGCGAATATCAGTCAGATGAATTGTCGTTGGATGCTCAGTCTGGGCATCAGTGATCACAACTAAAACGGTAATGACGGCACGTAAGCGATTGCGGGGTAGCTCCACCGGCTCCATTGTCGTGCATTTTAGTTCCTGGCAAGCTATTATTGTGAGACTGTTGATTGATCCTTACAGCACCGACCCTGCAACTCTTTCTCCCACCATTCAAACACGTCTAAAAAAGCCCACCCACACCCCTGTTACTTTTATTCCCGCAGGATAGTGTGGGACCCCCACATAAATAAAGTACTGTTCCATCATGGTGAATGTCTCCACCTAACTGACCTCTTCTTCTCACTCTCTCCTGGACTACTCGAGTACCCGCAAGCACTGTGGGGAAAATGCCATGACCGACTAACTTGACCAAGGGCTAACGAAGTGCTGCAGACGGAAAACAATAACAGTATTTGGGGCTACTGATAACTTAATATTGTTGCATGAAAACGACCCACCTGTGGACAGTTATTGATGGACAGAGAGGGGGGGATTTGCTTCGACACTGGTTGGATCATATGGACGGGTAAACTCGCGGAAAGTTACTGCATCATGTAGGTGAAACGACGTCTTATTGTGTTCTGCTGCAAGATTATGGTAAAGTAGCCCGTATGTCGTGTAGTGTCGCATACTTTTGAAGATGGATGCAACCACCAAGAAACTCACCTTACGTCGCCGTGTACTACACTTTCTGTCCCTCCAGCGTTCCTCTGGTCTCTCGTGTGAAACCCAGACCAGATATCCTTTACAGGTCGCGTCGTATCGAAAGTCGCTGAATAATAAACTCCTCGTTCTGATGCATTCCTATCCAAATGTGCCGTGTTTCTGGTCGTAATTCCGTTCAGAGCTTTCCATCCACCTGTCTTGAATGCCCTTCATTTATTTTACAGATTAGAGCCCTTCGGCTGCTTCAGAAAGAACTCCCAACAAACTTGCAGCAGCGCCACCAATTCCCGCTGCAGCAAGATTATCTCTCCACCGTCTTCTCCCAGAGTCCTTGTTTCTCTGACTGTTAGTATCACTGCTTCTTGTAGACGAATTGGTTCTATGGTCTCGCTTCGACCGACCACTACGACTGCTGGAATGATGGCGGTCTCTTTCTTCTTCCTTTCTAGAATGACGATAATTGGAGTCGCGCTTTTCCCTCGCCGGCGAGGATGACGCGGAAGAATCGCTAGGATCAGTGTTGCGATGTGGCGATCGAGGTATTCTCATGTGTTGTGATTTCGAAATAATTGGCGAGGAAGAAGGTGAAGGGGGTGCATGAACTCCGTATGGATTCGGATATCCTGACCGAGGGGTTGTATCGCTTCCAGCAACAGAGGACGTGTATTTCCGAGGCTCATTGCGTCGCTGTTGCCGGTTCTGAGGTACATCTGAGTCGGAGGAATCATCTTCATCAGACGATGGTGTCTCTCTCATCCTCCTTTGACTTTTTTCTGTTGACGGGGGGTATTGAAAAATTGGGCGCCGACGAGCCGCGCGTATTGCCTCAGACCTAACCGCATAGCTCTGGATTTCTTCTCGACTAAGAATGCCCAAGATTGCCACGAACTCTGGTCGGCTACAAAAGATTAGTATGGCCACTATCAAAAGAGTATGGGGTAGATGATTATCATACGCTTCGTAACGTCTCCTATCTTGTTCCAGCACCTCAGGCGAAACAAGACGGCGACTTATCTTGGTCCATAGAGCGTCGGATGGGATTTGCTTTCCTTGGGAATCGGGGGCTAGTTGGAACACTGTTTGTCCATTACTGGTACTTGTGTTAGAACCTCGCCTAACTAGCGAACCGTTGTGCAGCGACTGAGAGGAAGAATTTTCCCGCGAGGAGTATTCAATAGAACGTTGCAAGTTATTGCCGCTAAGAGACATATGGCTCTCAAAACTACTAGGCAATAGCACAGAGGTAACATGCAATGCTTGATTCATCTCAACCAAGTCACCTGTTCTGATCAATGAACCTTGAGAAGGGACCTTGGAACTCTTAGATAATTTATCGGTCTCCGAATCGTCTTCAGAATCATCTACGTGTCGCACCATTTTATTGTTTGGAACTTTCAGGATGGGAATCGGAGAACGCGGTCGGTAGCCAGCATCACTTATTCTCATCGGCTCTCCTTGGGGCATTGGTGCACTTATTGTAGGTCAGAATTTATCTCAGATATACTTTTCTTTATCACTTACAGTCGTTGATCGAAACTCTCCGGTTTTGGTCGCTCGAGCTTCATTGTAGTTGGAAATTTCATATTTTCATCTTGAATCATCATCTGCTTAGCACTTTCATCGTTTCTCAAATTCTTTGTTGAGTCCAGGGTGCGATTAGAGCTTGGAGAAAATGGTACATCCACGGATTTTAGCCATTGTTGTGGATTAATGCCCGTATTTGGTGACGGTGGATGGATTTCATCTAAGAGACCATTTTGATCGATCTCACGAATGTAGGCTCGAAGCACTTCCTTCAAGGTGAAATTAGTCTTCTTTCATGGAAAAGATTTCGGCAAACTGTATTTCTCGATAATCATGCCGCGCTGTATGGAAAAGTAAGGCTAAAAGGTGTTTCCATATGCCATTGCAACAGGGAATCTGCTTCTGCGGGGTAAAGCTTGAGGAGATCCAAGAGTAGAAAAGGGATTATTCCATACCTTGTGCTGCTGTAAAACAGAACTGGAAAATCCTTCTCCCACCAGCTCCCTTCGGAAATCCTTCCATACTTCTTTATCATCATCCGAGTAGGTTGACATCACACTTCCACCAGACTTCCGAGTCATCCTCGACGCAATCAAATCGACCTTGTCCAGAATCATGTCAAGTTGCGCGCCATGATCGTCGAGTATAGTTGCCATTTTTCCAGATTCACGTAACTGTATAGTATCCAAGAACAAAGTCAAATTCGTCTTGTGCGAGATCAATTTGACTCTGATTGTACCAAGTTGGTCCATCTCATTGCTCCCAAACCGAATCTTGTCCCACATAACCTTCCTTGGTGAGGAGGGATTGTTGAAGTCCGAATGGAGTCTGCCATATTTCTGCAAAAGGTCGTCGAGCTGTTGTAATGTGGATTGACAATCTGTTACAATGGGTGCAAGCTGACGACCCCATAATGACTGGTCACGGTTGAGAGGAGATTCGGGGGCGTTGACCTCGTATTTTAGATGTCGAAGGACTGTAAACAGATTCTTGACCTCGCGCGAAATCTCGCCATATTCCTATGCTGAAGTCAGCAAGGTGTATCCCAAGGGATTAAGACAGAATTCCAATGTAGGATGGCACTCACTCCACTCGCATCGCGACACTTCCTGTAGAGGTTTTTACAAAACGTGGCCACGATAATGATATCAGCGGCGGGTGAAACACCAGAACTCATCGCGATTGTATCAATTATGAGTAGGACGGTAAAAAGTAGGATCGAATATTGTAGTAGAGCGTCTTTACTCTAGGTCATACTTGCGACTCCGATGGTAGCCCTAAGGTAGTCAGTCCAAAAGGGACTTGTAATTGTGACTTGGTCGGTTACGGGCACGATATTTGGCGAATTCAGGCTGACCAATTCCTCGAGGTAGCAAACCTTCGAGGCAGCTTGAAATGATGCCTTTGCTAGGCAAATGAGGAAGTACGTGTCTGCTGAGTTGTGGAATGAGGCTGTCGATATTTATTGATAAGCAAACGAAGGAAGTTTTGGTGGTTGTGCAGAAGCTGATCGTATTTGCGTACTTGAGCCGCAGTTCCGCCCAGTAATACTGAGTACCCAGTACTGAACTGTACTCGTACTCAGTATCAGCCATTCACTATCCCATCTGACCATCTTGAATTGGTCTGTGACGTCGTGGTGTCGGAAGTGAATGAGATTCATGCTTCGTAAGCCGGAGGGGAGCGCTGCAAGGCGATTGTGGGGTTACCTTGCGTCAATTTACAGGGCTGTTCACTCCTCCATGAGCCAATCATAATGCCTGAATTTAGCGACTCCTCATCGAAGCCGCAGCAATCCTAGACCTGGTCTAGTCATGGTCACACGAGATGCACGAAATATGGTTGCCTCATGGCCACAAAGTCTTGTTCTTATACTTCACATATATATTGTGGGAATGGCAAACACACGAATTCCGACTAGCGATATCCAAAACTTGGAGATTGGACAGAGAACGTTCTGAGACAAGATGGAACCAGGAACATGGCAAGCGGCTTGATTCCCGACTCACAGTACTGCAAGCCTTCGGATGCATATGTAGATTGAGAGTAGCTCAGCCTTCAATGTTCTTAAGCTGAAGTCTGGAAACTAAAGGTGTGAATAATGTGGCTTTTTGTGTGAGCCATCAGCCCGCAACCAATAAGAAACCATTTTGAGACCATTCGGGTTTGCTCCCTTCTCGCTTCATTGCACCAAAACACGCCGTACTGTATTGTGGTTTGGGCTGTTCGCTTCTCTCTCGGCTAAGTCTACTCCATTTCTATTATGTCTACTACAGTATGTAGCGGACGACCTCCACCCAAAAGCCTACTTCAAGTCAATCTCCCAGAGTTAAACCAGAGGGTCAAAAATGAACTGGTGAGAATATACTATGTTCGAGCAGTTGGGGAAATGTTATTGAATATGCGCAGGAGTCCTTAAAAATTGGGGTGTCTCTATATTACCAGAAATGTTTAAAAAAACAATATCCAGGATTAAACTAACAGCAAAAGAAACTCAATTTGGCAGCAAACTTAGTCGATCTTTCTTGAAATACAAAAAAGTCTCATCATCATTTCCAACGGCGCTTTCGAGTGTCCTTCTATAGACGAAACGTGGTGTACCGACATACAAGTATTACTTTTAGAAAAGAGGAAAAGTCACACTTGAGTCTCTATGTTCCACTGGATGAACCCAATTGCCTTCACGATGAAAGGACAATGAAAGTTCAAACCAAACAATTCTAGAAGACCTTGTAGTAAATGCTCGACTTTGAAGTCTCTGGTCTAGGGGCTTGTGATTTGGCCTTACGAATAAATTACGTCTCCGCAGACTCGAGCCTTCTTTTCTTGGTGTCCTATTAGTGCTTGTGGTAAATCCATCTGCATAATTAGAACAAGCAAAATTAACAAATAATGTAGTAAAAAGAACCCCCCTCAGACCACCTACGCAAAGTCGCAAGAATCATCTGATGTGGAACCACAATTAAGAATTGGTGAGCCTTCATGAGATTGTCAATGGCAGCATCCTTAAATAGATTCAGATATTCTGTCCATTTCACCTACAATAATGCCGGTAGGTAGGAGAGGCACTGAGAGAATGATTCTTTATCACGTGATATATACAAATTTCTCAAGGACCCGCTCTTCTCTTCAGAGGCGAATCAAAATTGACGAGGTTGGGCCACAAATGAAGTGACAACCCTCAACACCCAACGTCGTCTGCCAACTCACTCCCAATACACCCAACCGATAAGTCAGTTCCAAAGAATCTGTCCAGCTGAACTAACATGCTACAAATCATCATTGTGCTCACTGCAGTTCATTACACCTGTGGCTAAAACCCGGGGTCAAAGCATCTCCACGTACCTCCCATGATGCTTGGTACCCCTCGATACCGTCTCATTTCGAAGCCTCGTTATCTTTTGTGACTCGGCAGTCACCGAAATTTCTTTTCCTAGTTACGGTTGCACAATACCTACTTTCTACATACCAAGTTCACCTGCCCAATGTCCGCGAATATCTCCTTGAAGTTGCACAAAGTTGTGCTGATTTCGACTCACATGTCCGTTATTGGAACCCAAACAACATCAACGTGTAGTTCGCGTTCTTTTCGCCACCCACGACGATGGCACTCTATATATCTCATGTGCTCATAAACCTACCCTGCCATGCATTCCTCCTGTACTTCTTATCAATTTCAAAAACTACCCTTCTCCCCTCGCCATAGCAGAACCAAACGTTCAGGCTTTCCTTCAATCACTCCTCAAATTTCAGAAGCTGTTATTACTTTTTTTTTATATAATTTCCTTGACGATGCCGCGCAAGAGTTGGCTGTACGACTCAAAACTTCTAAGGATGAGTCCGCCGCAGACGGAAGCCCGAAAAAGGAGGACTCACATACACCTTCACATTCGAAATCAGGAACCGAGCGAGCAATGCCCTTGTTCAATGTTCCGCACGCGAGAAATCCGAACTTTGTTGGGCGCTCTGCGGCTATCAGTAAGCTGTTCGCGATGTGGAAGCCCGGAAACAGGAGGAGAGTCTCAACTGTCGACTTAGGTGGTATTGGGTGAGTGTAATTCTTACTATATCTGCAATTGTCATTCAATTTCAAAAGCAATACTGACCCCCCCTTTTTTTCAGAGACGATGAGCTGGCTGTTGAGTTGGTCTATTTACTACGAGATTTTTCACCCAAAGACCGTCTACTGGTTCAAGTCAACCGATCTTCATTCGTTCTCAGATCTTGGGAATCCTGTCACATCAATCACTGAGAAATCACTTGGTCAGTGGCCTGCAATACCACAACAATCCAGAGAGCCTAGTTATCGTTAATCCTGGAAAATCGTTTGATGCCATACTTCAGCCTGGCGAGGATGAACCTCAAGTAGATGAGAAACGATCGTTCCCATGGACGGTCATCATACGTATCAGAAGCTCTCAGAGTGGTCAACAACCGGCCGGTCCACATGGCCTTCGTGAGTTGAGTCTAGAACCCAAAGCACCCGAGATAGTATTACGCAGCAGACTGGGTCTATTTAAGCAAGGTCGGCGGTTGAATTTGCGGAGGTCGCACGATTGATGACTTACCCTCTTCGAGCAATTGTTCAAGTTGCGCGACTTATTACAAGTGCTGGGAATGATGACATACCCAATCAGTGGAGATCTCACGAAACTCACTTGCTTGGAAAGCTGGACCGCTTTCGAATCCAGTTTACGGTATACGTTTTCCGTGGTTGGATGGGGGACGGTTAATATACGAGCTTCAAAGCCGAGTCTCCTGAGACATTGCGAATACTGTACCATATATATTTCCTCGATGGAGAGTCGGTGCCAAAAGAAATATTCTCAGGAACAGACCAATTGGATATCATATTCATTCTCTGGTGGTGGAAGACGGACATCTGGGACATACATAACTCATCCATTTGTATACCTAGCAACCTGCAATATTCTTCAGACCATCGTCCAGATAGAGACAGGCGACGAGAAAATCAAAGAGGAACGGGACTGGCATGGGGACGTCATCACAATATTCCCGGGTTGGTATCCCGACTCGCAAGATGAGGATGGGGTATGGTGGAGATGTCGGCTTACATATGTAAGAGACGTGGTTAATACTCTGTCTACGCCTAGCTTATAATAATAGAATCATTCTAAAAGCCCTTGTACAACTAAGTTATTCATATAAATGGCTGAGAATAACCGTCAAATTTTACTTCTAAACGGCCTACGTATACTAAGACAATGGAGTGACCTGTGCTAGACATTTACTACAATGAGTTCTAACAGTGTGTATAGAACATTAAGCAAGTCTCTTACACGTTGGGTGTAATCTTCAAATAATATCTCCACGAAGAGCTGTCACCAAACAACCCCAATCGTCATATTTAAGCATCGAGCGCTCTACAACGATGCCTTCACAAAAACTCTACTAGCGAACAATAACCTCTCTCTTTCCGTAACAGCATATCATCAACTTACCCCTCAAGAATCAATTACCTCGCTAGACATTTCTGGAAGTATCCAAGGTTCAACGTGCCTTCAGCCCTATCCTGAGCCTGAAGATGAAGAGGTCAAATTATAGAAGTGCAGAATGCTAGGGGGACAGGACGGTGCAGATCTTCCTCGAAATCATTTCTTTCTTGAGAGAGAGAGGGGGAGAAAGTGATGGTTCTTAAGCAAGCTCTCTACTGTGTTCCATAGATGGTTAAGTGTGGGTAATCCTGCTCAGAGGACGATATATGAGTTCTTGAAAGGAATGTCGAAATGCGTTTTCTGGTAGGCATGAAACCTTTGGAATTTCCCACGTCGACACTGTCGTCAGTTGTCATGACATGGCGAAGTTGATTACAAGTGTATGGTGTAAGAGACCTGGCCACTGCTCTAGACATATCTCGCTTAGAAGTTAGAACAATATTATCCTGAAAGCCTTATATAGTAGAGTGTACATGTGAATGGCTAGAATGATTGGTGCCTGTTACTTTTTATTAAATATACTAAGTCATCTTACTCATTTGTACCAAACTCTTAAAATTGGAATATATCAACTCTTTCGAGTACATAAGATCCCCGATTAGGTCATTACTCTATGCACACCTTCGAAAATTGTTATACTGCTTTAAGCGTCTAGAAGAAATCATTTATTTACCTTAGTATAAATAGATTTGTTAAAGTCAGAATATTACTTCTTAATCTAAACCATTTGTATGACTATTTTGGTTGAACGGAGCTATTAGGAAAACATCATTTTAATCAAGGTGCATGTAGAATAGTGACCACATCTCTCAGAGAGTAATGACCAGCTTTCTTCTTTTTATTCTTAAATCTTCGAACAGATAACAGATACATCTCTCAGATACATATTGTTCCATCGACATTCCGTGCTCTGGACAGTCTCAAACATACCATGTATTGTTCTAGCCCTCAAAGAGGATTTGACAAAGGTGAATCGTTCACTTGATTATCAAGCCCACAACAGCGGACGAGTGGAAAGCAGTTTACGAACCCACCGTATTCGTTGCTGCATTTGATTGACCAGTAATATTGAACCAGATAATGCCTCATCATAAATCCACGAGGGAAATCAAATTTCTTATGCACAAACTACCGAAAGGGTCTTGGGAGTATTTTAGGCTAATACTTACCCGCACACCACTCTGCCAATTAACCGCGTAAGGTCGCTTTTTGCAAGCCCATTTTCAGCCCAAGTCATTGGGAGCCAGAAGATCCCACACCAACCATTCAAAGCGAGGCTGTATTTCGTATCCCGAGATTTCCTTTACAAAGGAGTTGCATTGTCCGCGGGTTGTGAAACCCCAAGTTCGTCGTACTGTATAATGCAAGCACAATTCATTACTAAGTCAATATATGAAATCACCGTAATGTCCATCAAGAAAGCGAATCATCCATGCATCTCAACTCTATGTTTACCCCCGCCCACCTGAAATCTCAGACGACAAGATCATTATTACCCAAAGATTCAACACCAAGCACCAACGCAACCCCGATTCCTTCATCGACAAATTCCTCATCTCAACATCATCCAAAGCAAACGACTTTCGTCCAACGCGAAGTACAGCAAGATCCATACTACGTGACCCTCGCTCTGACTCGACCACAAACCACCCTCATATCACTCATAGTTCTCGACAACACTTTACCAACACCAACCAGCACAAGCACTTCCAGCCCCTCACCAAAACCTCTCGCATCTCATTCGAGAATCTCCACACCAACAATTGTCGGCATCGTCTTTGGGGTGACACTAAGCGTGTTGGTGTTGCTTGGCGTGCTGTATGTTTACATTCTCCGAGCAAGACAATTTGCAAGGACGCAGAAAGGGGGCAGTAGGAAGAGTATAAGTTCCAGGAACAAAAGAAAGAGGAGGAGAAGAAAAGGTAGGTCTGATGTATTTACCTTGTTCCTGATTGAGATAAGCAACCCTTCGCTTCTCATATTGAACATGAGCCGAATGAAATGAAAGAGGCAGCTTTTGCTAACCTCCGGTTTCGATTCATAGAGCGTGTAGCTGTTCCTGCGTCTGCTCCTGCTCCTCCGCCTCAACCTCCACCACCTGCGCCTCCAGAAACAGAAGCAGATGCTCCACCACCCCCATGATAGCCTCTAAAGGAAAAGCTTGTAGATAACGACCGAAGCAAAGAGCAAACCCCTTTGATCAATTTGTTTATAGTCTTCCAGGATACTTTTGAAACAGAAACTCAAATCCAAATTAAACTCTTCTTCACAAAACAACAAAATTAAACGAGGATGGGTGGTGTTGGAGACTTGTGGCAGAGTTGAACCACACTTTCGTAGAAGCACTCTCATCTTTTTGCTCATATTTACTGAAATGAAGCCAAGGGTTTGACCAACACACTCTGATGGGAAGTTGATGAGATCCGCCACTACAGTAGATTTATATCAAATTACTGCCGCCAGCAGTAGTACATTTCCGCGTAATTTTGAGCAACACAAGATATCGTTCAAAGATACACACCTGCTGCTAGAACCAATCCAGACAGCTCGATAAGCAGTAGGATTGTGAGAACTTATTGCATTTCTCGTTCCTTTTTCAGCTTCCAATCATTCCATATCATAATTGCTCTCAACAGTATCCTAGAAACTTCTCATCCCGGTCGTTGAGCGGACAAACTTCATTCTCTCTTCGACGCTTTCTTCGTTCACATTACTCCAGTTCATCGTTATCCCGCAATCCTCTCTATCCAAGTAGTTCTCAACACGATCGTCCCTCTCACACACTCTCCTTGAACCAAGGTTGTTCTAACGCTTCTCTAGCAGTAATTCTCTTCGCAGGATCCAAACTCGTCATCCTCCCAACAAGATCACGGAACTCCGCATCCACATAATGTCTCAACTCAAACGGTCTTCGAGGTTCTCCCTCCTTATCGAAGTTCGCAGCAAGCGTAATAAGCCGTTCAAAAAATGGATTCTCCTCACCAATCCATTGCAACAAGCCCTTAAACCCGTCTTCATTGGCAAACAAAGAAATATAGCGTTTGAGAACGTACCTCCACGAGTCGTCCGCCGCTAGCTCTTCTTCGGTACAACGAAACACCATGTCTTTCAGTGCTACATAGATTGACACAATACCAAAGGAGAAGATATCTGATGGGGTGCCTTGGGCTGCTCGGTCCCAGGACTCGGGACTTCTCCACATTTGGTTGCCGCAGAGTGCTTTTCTTAGATATTTCCCAGGGGGCAGAATCACCGAATCCTCTAAATCTGAAATATTGATCTTTTTGATGGAAAATATACCATCTGTTTCTTCGTAGTCTAGGAGAATGTTATTTGGTTTTATATCTGCCCTTTCTGTCAGATGATATATAGAAACTTCGGTACCTCAAGAGCAAATCATCTTGAATCTGAAAGGATTTGGAGAAAGAATTACCTGTGTGAATGATATTTCGATCATGCATATCAGCCAGGCCCGCAAGAGCGTTTTTAAGCATAGCCTTCCTGATCGCATCAGACAGATTCTTCTGCGAGAATTGAAGGAAATCAGTTTGTAGAAAAGGATAGATGAATATTTCGGGACTGGGTAGACCATCTATAACTGTTCGCAGGTGAGGGGACGAGGATAAGGATTTTTGCAAGTCTTGTTGATATTCGTATTCCCAAGGTATCATATTTTTGACAATGAAGTTCTTCCCTTCAGCGCTAATTCCCATTAGTGACAAGCACTCGAACGTGAGCCTGTTAGCAAGGCGATCATACCTTGCACGATAAACACATAACATCGGCTTCCGTCTCTCAGTGAGCACCTCTTGAATACTGTATGTGCGCCCCGACTGACCACAAATTATTGCCCCTGGTTTGAAAGGCTCCTTGGCCGTGCCTGATGCCTGAGAGGATGTAGTACGACGTGAAGATAAAGATATATATTGTGAAGGGCGGCTGAGCAGACTCCGGGAAGATGGTAAAGAGAATTGTGCCGTCGTGAGGCTTCTGTACAAAGTGGAAGCCCTCGTCAAATTTGACATTCTTGGCTCTCTTCAAGCCGCTTAGATTCAGCTGTCAAAACACGCAATCCAAAGCAAAGTCAAAGTGAAGGAAATAGTGGCAGGCATGTAAATAATCTGGAGGTGTTGCTTGGCGGTCGTTGGTTGATGGGGCGGGCGGGACGGTCCGGTTTGTTGCCGCAGGTGGGATGGAGGTCGGCCTAAGCTACTAATTGAAGTATATCGATAATAAGTTAGATAAACATATGTTAGTATAACTTGGTAGGATAAATATAGGGTATATCATAGCACTACAAGGGTAAACAATAAGTATATAAAATAGTAGTACTAATTATTAATATTCTATCTACTATGTAGAATCTAGGCTATATATATAGCCTAGATTATTATATACGTAAAAACGTAAACATATTATAATACTAGTACTACTTTATAAAGTTATAAAACAATAAGTACTAAGTTAGCTATAAAAGAGAGAGAGTACTATCTATCCTATTCTAGCTAGTAATCTAGTTTAATATCCTCTTATCTCGATATAATTTATTCCTTATTCCTTAGATCTTAAAAGAGACTCTAGAAGCCTTTATATAGGTAGGAACGTAAACTTTAATAACTTACTAGTTTAGGCTTAGTAGATTAAGACTTACTAGTTTAGGAAGGGAAAAGTAGGTACGTAGTAAGTTAGTAGAAATATTAAAACTTAAAAACTCGTTAGTTACGCGAAAGTAGCTTATAGTAGTACTTCTACCGGTCGAAAACGTATATACTTTAAGGATAAGATAGTACTTAATTAACCCTATAAACCTGTCTTATTTTTATATTATTCCGATATATAGAAGTACTACTATATAAGTATAAAGAGCTATATGTGACGAAACCGGTATCTAACTGAAGGTATCGAGTTCGACGGTTGGTATGCGAAGAGAGAAGACAATATATCACGGGTTGTTTACTTAGAAGTAAACTCGTCACTTGTACAAAGTCGTCAAAGTCAAAAGGTATTGATAACTGTGTAAACTAAGTTGAGCACGAAGCTCCTATCTAATGGCAGACGTGCCAGTATTATATAGAACCTCCGTTCTCTGTTCTAACTGTTGCTAGCTTGCTAGCCTAGTCGCGCTGTCGCTGCTAGACTGGTAGACCCGTCGCCCCGTCTAGCGAGATGCTATCACGTGATACTAACCAAAGGAAATCCCTGGATCGCTTAGCTAGTCTAAGGATCCCTATTTGCTATAAGAGTATACGATAGTGCTTGACCTGTCAGGACACCGTCTGGTCTTCACTCCTCACGTGCTAACACGTGATTTGTGACACTATATACGCGTATAGGTAAGACTTAAGTATATATACGACTCTCGGTATAGCTTAGCGTAGCTATACGAGTAACATAACATATATAAGTTCCTACCTATATAATGGCTTTAAGAGTCTCGAAAGAGACTCTTATACTAAGATTATTTATCTAGCTAGCTAATTATATATCTCTAGCTTTATTTATTTTATTTATCTTATTCTTTTTATTTAGATATATAATAAATATATTTTATTTATTTATTCTTTACTTATTCCTTAATCTTAGTATAAGAGCCTCTAGGGAGACTCTTATAGCCGTTATAAGGGTAAGAACTTATTTTACCTCGGATTCTCGGAAGATACTTAGCCTACCTCTAACCCTAGTAAAAGTACTCTATATCTCGAAGACTCTAAAAATTCTAGAATAGGTTAAATTATAATCCTTATACTAGTAAATAAATATTCCCTCTATTAATAAAGGCGATTTTTTTCCTATTTTTCTGTTTAACTTCTGTTTAAATTAATCTATTATTTATTAAGTTATATCTAAAAAGTTAAATCGCGTTCTTAAAATATACCCCTTTATATCTAAAGTGTATTACTATTATTAACTATAAATCGTAAATTATTAATTATTAGCCTTATTATAATCAGAACTACTACTATTAGAACCTAATTCCTCTCCCTCCGAATCTAATAAATCCTAACTCTATACCTATATTTTCTCCTTTCCTTTACTCTTTATAAACTAGGTACTTATTCTCTTATCCTACTATTTAGCGCGTATAAGAGTTAGCGGTCGCTTACTAGGAATCTTCTTACCACTAATTTCTACTAGTATCCTTTACTAGCTTATTAATCGCTTAATTATAGGCTATTCCGCGGTAATATTACTCTCTCTTCGATCGCGACTTATTTTAAGCCTTCTCCTTTTAACTAGCTTAGAGGGTATAGCTCTGATATTAGTTATTATTAAAGTCTTATCTTCCTAGACTTTATTCTTATTTCTATTAAAGAAGCTATTTTTAGTAGTATTAAAATTATTAATAAAGTAGAAATAGGTATTCTCTATATAACTAATACTAAAATAGATATTTTATATATCTTATCTAAACTATTATAGAATAGAGAGGGACCTTTAACTATTACTTATACTAGGAATCTCTTATAGAAGATTTTCGCTACCTTAAATTAGAAAGATAAGCTTTAAATATCTTAATCTATAGAGGGATTATAATAATAACCTTATCTTAGAGCCCTATTTAGATAGTCTAATATTATAGCTCTCTTATAATTATACAGTACCTCTATGATTAAGGATATATTATTTATAATATACTTAAACTATACTAAACCTCCTCTATTATTATATATATCCTTAAAAGTATAGACTAAACATTTATAATTAATATTAATAGTAATAAACTACATTCCTTTAGCCTAGATAATTATTAAATTAATAATCGCTTTAAAGGTAACTTAGCTATATTTATTCCTTCCTCTATAACCTATATTATAATAAGCTCTTAAGTATATTTAGAATTCCTACCTCTAGTAAACTATAGTAGAAGTAATTAAAAGATCTATAGTAGTTTACTAGTTAAGCTATACTTTTCTACTTCCTTTAATTTAAGGAAGAGACCTATAACTATTAGGAATAGTCTAACTTAGTCTAATTATAACTAAAAGGTTAAGCCCTCATCCTTTTCTTTTTTCTTCTTTAGTAGTAGAGAAGTACCTCTTAGTCTTCTTAGCTTTAGTTATTATACTTAAGGCTAGGGTTCTAGATTTCGTACCTCCCTTACTTTATAATTAAAAAGCGAAGTATATATAGTTGTTTTAAGGAATTCTATTATATTTTCTTACTTTATAAAATAAAGTTTTTAAGTAATAAATACCCTATATTCTTCTAGTCTTATTATATTATCTATATATAGAAATTTAGCTTCTAGTTATACTACTAAGTATAAGTAGTAGGTATTTAAAATAAGATCCTTCGCCTTCTAATAATATTTATATTTACTATTCTTAAAACCTAAGAAGCTCTTACTATTAAATAATCTTTTTAAAATATATAAAATCCTAATAGTCTTTAATATAGAAAGTCTCTAGAATTAGTTTAAGTAAGGTTTTTTATAATTAGAAAAGACTAAATATAGGGAAGGCCTAACCTAATTACTTATAATTATTCTCTTTATCTAACTATAGTTATTAGATACTATAGATAGTATTTATAGTTCTAAGGTTACTACTTAGAATAATTCTAATATTCTTAAGTATCTTATTAGTCATACTAATCTATTTAAGAAAGTATCTTACCTAGGTAATTATCTTTTAGTAGCTTATCTCTTCCCCCTCTACTATATATAAATAATACTAGGTTTAGCTAGTATTCTTAATATACTTTTATTTATATAAATAATTAGAATACTAAGTAGCTTTTTTATTTTTTAAGAATTTCTATAACTTTAACTACTATCTATCTAAATTTAGGCGATCCTAGTATTACAAATAGAACTTATTAATAATGTGACGGTTCTGACCGTCACGTGCCATTCATATCACGTGGCTTACTTAGCGAACCACATTGTATTTAGACTCAAGCTCTCTCGAGCTCTCCTCTTCTCCTCAGCTTAGAATCTTCGAATAGACAGTTCTACGATTCCATAACCTACACCTTGGACGCTCCTTGAGCAACACATCGTACGTGTCGTCACAAATAAACTTTATAATATAGTAGATCTAGAGTAGTTTATAATACTTTATTAGAGATTCTAGTTCTAATTTATTACTATAGAGTAGACTAGACGTTTTATTATCTAGTTTATAAGAATTAAATATATCTCTAGAGAATAGTTATTAATTTTTTCTATAAATATTATATAAAAAACTATAGATATTATAGTATAACTAGTTTTTATTATTATTACGAATTTAACTAACCCTTTAATATACGTCTAGGTTATTATTGTGACGGTTATGGTCACGAGGGCTGGATGTCACATGCTCGCTTAGCGAGGCGCTAGCGCGCACGACCTGTATTTAGTTCCCAGCTCTCTTGAGCTCTCCTTCTTTCCTCGTCTTTTGTCCTAAGAATAGAGTGTTAATTGTTCTGAGTTCTACCTGAAGCACGTCTGTCACAATTATAGTAGCTATTTTTAGGGTTCGCTTTCTACTTTAATCTAAGGGTTAATAGATAGGCCTATTTAGCCTATATAATTAATTTATAGGCTAAGTTAATCGCCTTAATTCTAATAGAAATACTATATTATAAAAGGTATTTAATTAGGATATATTTAGTACTACGGGATCAGAGTATTATTCTAATCTATATCTAGAATTTCTATAACTATATACTATATATATAGAATTGTTAGGAGATAATTAATATAAGAATCTACTATTATGATTAAGTTTTAGTTCCTTCTATATTTATAGTTTATATTAATAACTAACGCTTATAATAGGATCTAAATGTCACAAATCACGTGTAGCAATGCATGTGACAAAGGAAGTCCAGGCGGCGTCCTGACAGGTTAAGCACATCCATGGACTTATAGCAAAAAGGGATCAGTTAGACTAGCTAAGTGATCCAGGGATTTCTTCTGGTTAGAAAATCACGTGATCTAGTCGCCTGAGTCGCCTGTTGACTGAAGCGATCAGGGCGAGCAGAGCGATCAATCAGAGAACGAAGGTTCTTCTAGTCGCCTGAGTCGCCGGTCGACTGAAGCGATCAGGGTGAGCGACTAGAGCGATCAATCTAGGTTCTTCTAGTCGCCTGAGTCGCCTGTCGACTGAAGCGATCAGGGCGAGCAGAGCGATCAATCAGAGAACGAAGGTTCTTCTAGTCGCCTGAGTCGCCGGTCGACTGAAGCGATCAGGGTGAGCGACTAGAGCGATCAATCAGGGAACGAAGGTTCTATATAAGACTGGCACGTCTGCCATTTAGATAGGAGCTTCGTGCTCAACTTAGTTATCAATCTTATCATATTAGTTTGACATCTTTGATACAAGTAACGAGTTCACTTCCAAGTGAACAACCCGATAGTCTTCTTCTTATCATAGCATACCAACCAGCGAACACCCAGCCAAGTTTAGTTAGCCAGTTTGAGTATTCGTTACATCCTTACTCCCTAGATCCCAAGCCCGAAAAGCTAAAACAAGAACCTAGCTAGTGAATTTTATTCGATTAATGGGGTAAAATCAAAGGAAGGTGGAGGAGAAGATACTTCGTACTTCGTACCTGTTGAACTCCACATTACAATCCCAACCGGAGACAACCGAAACATCATACTCGTACCTTCCAGTCATTAGATTCGAACCCCACAGTAAACTCGAACTAAGCGCGCTAATTGATCGCTAGCTAGCGATCAAGACTTACTCCGTAAATTTGATCGAGTCACTCTCGGGACCCCCAAGGAGACGAACCAGGAACAATATCTTTCCTTTCATTGCACAAGCGTTAAAAAAATGAAACCCTACCAAATCAAAAACTCCGATTGAGGAAGGAGGAGAGAAGAAAAAGTTTTTCGGCCGTTTGTAAATGTACGAGGAAATCAGATCAGACCAGATCAGATCCCGAAATAAGTTTCCACTGTATTCCAATCGGGGAATTTTCCGGACCACGCTGCAGTGGGCTCAAGAAACAAGCTTAAAAGAACTCGGTAAAGCGAACGTCATGGAAGGGAAGGGCAGAGCCTTACCGTAAATTTACTTACTTTATTTAGAGTTCATATCAGGGGGGACCAATAATAATGCCCAAGCTTTTTTCGTGGAGCCATTTCTTTGAAAACTTCGTGATGAGGTGTGGATACGATCGAGTAATGATCGAGTAAGAATTGGAAAAAAAAATTGGAAAATTGGAATTTCTTCAGATGGAAGCTGGAAACGTGGTCGGTAGGACATTCCAGCGCCCGTGGGTGGATCAGGTCAGGGCAGGGCGGAGATGCAGTGCATGGATCTGATGGATTTGGTGGAGCTGTGCATAGAATCCCTGGGAAGATCTTAAAAGTTAGGTAATGGTGTAACCCTGGCCTGGAAAGCAGCGGCTCATCAGATCAGTAGGGAAGACAAAAAAGCATGAGGAAAAAACGTGCCCGATGCACTTGTGAAGGCCTCACGAATATTGAAACGGAGCGCACTGGAATGGGAAAGTGGCCTGGCGCGAGTTTCGAATGTCCGCTAAAGAGGGACGAATGGAGAATTTCCATTACCTCTTCGAAATGGAAGTTGCATTAAAGTTGTCTTTGGGTGACGCAAAAGACGCAATGTGTAACATAGAGTAGGGAATAGCTACCGTACCAGTCCGGGATTCCATACCTCAATGCGGTGCGTGTGACGTTGGAGGGCGCTTAAGCACATGACCAGCTCCGAGGAGATATAAAATCGAAACCTTCAAAGGCCTCACACCATCTACGCACCAGTCTGCGGGGAAGAGGCGTGAGAGTATTGTCCTTCAAGTTGGAGAAGATGTTTCCCCGCACTTCTACTGCACGTATACGAAAGCGACAGTATGGGGCGTTGGTGTTCATCTGGGAAGGTGGTGATCCGACTCGATAGTCGGTATAGACGAGTTGACTACGGATTTCACCACTGGGGGGCATTCTTGCGCCAGCTCTCCCACGGAGGAAGTTGCTACTTGAATTATTGGCATGACAAAAATTGGTCGGGGGTCGGCTTCCTAGTTTAAGCTTGGCAATTGGAAATCTGGGGATCGTGAACTCAGCTCGACAACAAAGTCCCTATTCCGTACTCCGTACTCGGACGGAGTTGTAGACGCCTTGAAGTGCAGAGCAATGACCATGTCTCCATTTTATTTCCTGGCACAGTAGCAACATAGAGTGACCGCATGCGTCACATTCTTTTGACTTTAAGCTGGTGTACTTCAAGGTACAGTAGAAACGGCGGATTTCCAGAAGAATAACCAAACATTCGCTTGGCTGAAGATTGTGAGAATCGAAACATGGTGGAAGCTATAAATTTCAAAGTATGCCCAAGTTCAAACATTCCAGTCGAGCACGAGCTCCCGGAGAAAAATCATTCAAAGGTCATGGGCGCCTGAAAATTCAAATGCTTGCTTGATCCACCTTGGCTCGGGAGAGCTCCAATTTAAGGCTGAGTCTCGTGGGTCTGGAAAGGAAAAATTCAACGACAGCCGGAAATTCCAACCTCAAGCGTACGAGTAGGCAGGCATTGCCAGCAAAAAATGGTCTTTTCCTTACAGACTCGCGGTGAAGAGAAATGACATCCACAGAATCCTGTTGTTCTTGATGCCAACGATGAATCCCTGGCTACTTAGTCGGTGACTCAAATTCGTGCTTTTTTTAGGGCGCTGCACGTGCTCTGCTTGATAGTTTCCAGAGTTTAGGGGTCCTTCTCTCCGCGTTTTCGGGTAGTTTGGGCGTTGACTGGTGGCGCTTATGTGTGCCCGGTGATGTATTGACAGATGACCAAGTCAATAATATGAGATCACGTCAGTCAATTGGGCCCAGATGAAGGATCTGACGAGGAAAGTACGGAGCAGTCGAGTAACAGTCAATAATCCCGTAAGCCTGGCATGCAACTTCTAATCAAGATGACATGTACTTCTTGGGACGTCTCATCTCAGAGTCGGGTTCGTTAATGAGAGACAGAAGGGCGTACATAGCCGAGTACTTGATGTTGCAACTTGGATCTTCGTGTGTCTGAAAAGGGGCGTACGCTTAAACGTAAGAAGAACAGGGATGGAGAGAATACTAGCAGTTGGTATGTGCTAATTTTCGCCTTCCATGCAAAAATGATTTGATGGCAGGAGGTTTAAGACTCTCCATGATCTGAGTCCTAAGCCTTGAGCCCCTCCAAATAGCCTCTGGTAGTTTCCGGTAGTCTAAGTCGCTGCCCTTCTGAGCCCACTTCGGGGGCAGTCTCGTCACCAATTGGAAACGCCTAGGATGGCGACCTTCATTCCAGGATGGTGACATTGATACCACTCCACCTATCCACCATCCACCCAGAGAGCATTGACAGCAGGATTCAGATTTAGACGAGTACGGAGGGACTCGCGTACGGAGTACTCGTACCATAGTTTTGATATAAAACCTGAGGGCCCCGCACCACCGTTTGCGTTTGTATTGAAAAGTAGAAGCCGAGTCTGATGCAAACAAAAAGTGCCGCGTTCTTTATAGACGAGAGTTGGAAGACTGAACAAAGAAACGACAGCGCTAGAAGGATCAGGTGACAGACTGACTTTATTTGTTGGCAAAGACCAGCACCAAGACAACGCCTCTCCTCACAACTACAACACTCCCTATAGCTACCTCGACACACCAAAAAGCCATCCAACGCTCAACACCAAAGAGTTCTCGAAATAATTACCATACGAAAGACCAGAAAAAAACGAAAACACCGTCATAGGCAAGATCGACATCGACTATTCTGCCCGTGCCGAAACCTCGGCTGACTGATTCGGCCGCAAGTTAGTACTTACCTGATTTGTTGCAGCGGTTGGCTGCACCCAGTTCCAGTTAGTGAAAGATGCCCCACAAAGTCGTTGCGCCGTTCGCCTTCTTGCGCTCTCTCTCAGGAATTTCCCCAGAAGTACAAGAGGCGAAGAAGCCCCAGAGTCAGAGGCGGCTCTCGAACTCTCAGTCTCCTTCACGCCCGACCATTTCTGATCGCACCAATTCCAATATTTCGGTACAGATGATGATGGATCGAAGCGTCAAGATACTCGCCGAGACGCGCAGGGATGGTGTCGCACACAAGCGACTCTCCTTCCCCCGCATGCACTCGCCCAAGACCAACAACAGAAACTCCCTACAAAGCCACCATGCCAGCTTGGATGCGGTCATTGAATCGCCACCTCTGGTATTTTATGGCCCGGCCGCATCAAGCACTGGTGCGCTACTTTCGGGAATCCTAAAATTGCACATCAATGAGGATTTCATGGCCGTGGAGTCATTCAAGATGGTGTTGGAATTGCAAGTCGGACGAAAGAAGCCGTTCCATGCTCACTGTCAAGATTGCTTGCACCAAGCCACCGAGCTAACTTCTTGGAACTTCCTCCAAGGCCCGGCAACTCTGAAGCGAGGTAAGACAACCTACAACTTTTCAAGCCACCCGTTTACTAACAATACCTCGCAGGTGAGCATGACTTTCCATGGAGTTTCCTGCTCCCAGGCCACCTCCCCGCGACTATGAAGGCTGCGCTCTCTTCCATCGACTATGTCTTGAAAGCGGTCGTGGTACCCAAAACTGGAGAGTCTTTCAAACTGTCTCGCCAACTCGACGTCAAGCGGGCGATTTACCCCTCCCTCGAGCCCCGCCACAGCATCAGAATATTCCCTCCAACCAATTTGACTGCAAAATGTCTCCTACCAAATGTTATTCACCCAATTGGCGAATCCACCATGACGATGAAGATGGACGGAATCGTCAAGCGAAACGCGGATACAAAGTCGCAGACACAGTGGAAGTTGAAGCGTCTGACATGGCGTCTGGACGAAACTCAGAAGCAGATTTCGCCGGCGTGCCCCAAGCACGCTTTGAAGACAGGTGCAGGTGAAGGAGCGAAGAAGGGTGTCCCGCACCAAGATACTCGTTCAATTGGCTCTGCCGAGCTCAAGTCAGGCTGGAAGGCAGATTATTCTTCGACAGATGGAGAGATTGAGTTCGAGTTTCCATTTGGAATTCGTCCAGATGCAAATCCTACTTGCGACATGAAGACCGAGGATGGAACGGAGATATCGCATGTCTTGGTGGTTGAGATGATTGTTGCTGAGGAGTTTGCGCCTCTCAAGAAGCCAAATCAGATCACCCCAACAGGAGCAGCTCGGGTTCTCAGAATGCATTTCAACGTCACAGTTACCGAGAGAGCAGGTCTTGGCATCTCGTGGGACGAAGAGTCTCCACCACTCTACCAAAACGTTCCTGTCAGCCCTCCGGCATACGCAAATGCAGATCTTTACGAAGGAGGACCAATTCCCGATTACGATGATTTACTTCCACTCGATTCATCTTCTCTTGACAATTCGCCAGCTGTCTCTCTCCGCAATATCTTGGGATCTTCCGGATCACGACCTTCAACAAGATCCGCATCAAGACCTACATCCTCCGAACCCTGACTCTTATCAAAATAACATTCTAGCATTTCTTGGACCCCAAATCTTCTTTTCTTTTGTTTTCATTTCATTTCCTCTCTGTATATTTTCTTTTTACTTTTACATAAAATGGGAGGCATGAAGCATGGTTTTTCCAGGGCAAGCGGAACATTCCTCGGTCGCATTTGGTGGGGAAAATTATACCCTCTGAGATATACATCAGATTGTTTTTGGGGCATTTTGGGATGGCGCAAAATGGGGTGACGGGGGAAAAACAAAAAAAGTGATTTGGGAACTCTACTATCTGGGAAGCATGGCGCAGCGGGAACTTATGAACAATTTTGGGAAGGAATGGGCATTTGCATGTTATGCATGTACTATGTATGGTACAGGTACAGGTACATAACACTTTGAAGCTAGCTAGCAGCGTTTTGGAAGACATCCGATATATAATTGCCTAATTGTAATTTTTTCGATGAATATCATTTCAAATCCGAATAAAAATATAAGAAAATAAACAAACACTTGTTTTTGAACATCCTCGCTTGTGCTTCGTGTCGCGTGATGTTTGTCTTGAGAAATAGGTAGGTATTATACTATATATAGAGTACCGTTATAATTGGTATATAAAACACTGTATTATAATTAAAAAGTCTGTTATATCGGCGATCGTAACCTTATCTTATACAAAAGTAATATTTAATTTACTAAAAAAGTAGGTCTAGTGTTACGGAACGGTCTTAGCTAGCCGAGACTCCTATACTCCTATCTCTACTACCAAACTGTCACGAATCACGTGTTAGCATGCGACGAGTTAGTTCAGACGGCGTTCTGACAGGACAGATACAACCAGAGTAGTTATACCATAGCAGTGGTTACTCAGGGTTGTTGAGCATCCAAGGATTTCATAGCATTCATAGTCACGTGATAGAAGCGCGACAGCGCGCACAAGCGAGCTGTCGCAGCACGTCGATCGGGTAGAACGACATTTGGAGAACGAAGGTTCTATATAAGACTGGCATGTCTGCCATTAGATAGGAGCTTCGTGCTCAACTTAGTTATCAATCTTATCATATTAGTTTGACATTTTTGATACAAGTAACGAGTTCACTTCCAAGTGAACAACCCGATAGTCTTCTTCTTATCATAGCATACCAACCAGCGAACACCCAGCCAAGTTTAGTTAGCCAGTTTGAGTATTCGTTACATTATCTTCTAATAATTGGTATTAAAGATAGTATAGATTTTAAAGAAGATTAAGTAAATATTATTATAAATAGTAGAGATAATACTAAGGATATATTTAATAGTAATAATAAGGATAAGTTTCATCCTAATTTAGATATAAAAGACTTATAAAATATGAATATAGATAGGAAATAGTTAGAGTTTAGGTTAATTTTACACTTAAATAAGGGGTATAATGAGAGGTAACTTAGTAAGTTTCTATAATTTATACTTATAAGATATAATTTATAGCTTAGGTTAAAACCTTCTCTTATATTATGGGATATCTTATACTAAAATATTACCTTATATACTAATTAATATAGTATATATTTAATCTTATTTTATAAAAGATAGATACTAAATAATTAATAGTATAGTATACCTAATCCTTCTTCTTTTATCCCTCTAAGAAAGTCTATAAGACTATAGTTAAGGTTAAGATATAAACTTAATATATATCTAACTAACTTATAGTAATAACCTAATAGTTCTCTATACCTAACTTATTAAACTCCTTAGTTCTTACCTCGCGTAAATAGGGGGCTAGGCTATAGTTATATACTATATTAATTAGTATATAAGGTAATATTTTAGTATAAGATGTTACGGAGTTGGAGGAATTGGGGGCAGATCACGTGTAGCAGCACGGCACGTGCGTGCTGCTGGCAGCCTATATATAAGCTTCTGTTCCTCTGGAACTCTCTTCCTTCCTCACTTAGTTGTTCGCTCTATATAGCAGTTTCCGTTTGACTCCGTATTCATCACAGCAAGCAGTGGTTCACTCCACACGGTCACATAAGATATCTTATAATATAAAAAAAGGTTCTAACCTAAGCTATAAATTATATCTTATAAGTATAACTTAGAGAAACGTACTAAGTTACTCTTTATTATACCTCTTATTTAAGTATAAAATTAACTTAAACTCTAACTATTTCTCATCTATATTTATATCTTATAAGTCTTTTATATCTAAATTAGGATTAAACTTATTCTTATTATTACTATTAAATATATTTTTAGTATTATCTTTATTATCTATAGTAATATTTACTTAATCCTCTTTAAAATCTCTTCTTCCCTTACTTTGTTATTCGCTCAATATAGCAGTTTACACTTGACTCCGTATCTTATCACAGCAAGTAGTGGTTTACTCCACACGTTTACACTTTTTTAGTAGATTAGCTATTACTTTTATATAAAATAAGGTTATAATTACCTATATAATAGACTTTTTAATTATAATATAACGTGGTTTATCAGCGAGTCGATCATATCACCGAGTCGATCACTTTTTCTTGGCACAGAACTTTACACCTAAATAAATCAACCACAATATATTAAATTAATTATCGCTCTCTATATCTGACGAACTAGATATATCTATAACTTCTTGACAAGTTCGCGCGTTATGACCAGCTTTTCCACAAGTTCTACAGCGCCGCCTAGAAGGTTGCCCCTCCTTATAACCAACCCCCGCCTCACGCATGTCGCGTCGTACTTGCTCATCTACATCCTCCTGAGCTAACATATCCCGTACATCCTCTACTATAAGTGCCCCTCCTTGGCGGACACGAGTCTTTTTAGCCCTACGGCGTTTACTTAGGGCTTCATTTGCAGCGCGAAGGGTACGGACCTCAGCAGACAAAAGGGTCATCTCATGTGCCATTCGCTCTGTACCCTTTGCTAACGCAGCAACTGTTTGAAAAAGTGGAGTTGGCGAGCTTCCTTGATGACAGGCTATACGATTTCGTACAAGAGTTGATTGTGAAAGGGCTTCAGTTGGGTTGGAAGGGGTCTGGGACACCCAGGGGAGGGAGTTGGCACTACACGTCCGAGGGGGAGTTGGAGTCCGTAACCTTACGTCAAGCTTTGAAAGCACTGCTTGCGGGTTAAATGGTACTAGGCCAGCTCCGCGGAATCCAGACTGACAGTTTAGGACTGTCATTGTTTCCTTGTATGCTGCTGTAAAGGCTAGAAAGAACTCAACCTTTGTAATATGGTTGATATGGGCCTTGATAAACGTCTCAATCTGCCGACCATACGCTCGTTTTAACACACTATAGCACCCAACATCAAGTGGCTGGGTTAGATGGGATGAATGAGGAGGTAGTCCAAGAGTAATAATGTTGTGTTTCGTACAGTAGTCTTGGAACTCAGCCGATTCATGACTCTCGTGCCCATCCAAAACTAGTATTCGATACAGACCCTTTGCACGAGCTGTAGTGTGTTTATCAAAGTGCTTTAACCATTCCAGGCCTGTTTCATTATTTGTCCAACCATTGCTTGTCGGTTTCATAACCCAGTTAGGTGGGAGGCCGCCGTCGGTATACCAGTTGGAGAGATGGTTCTTGCCCTGAACTACCAAGAATGGAGGAATACTCCAGCCCTCCCCATTAATACAGGCAATTGCTGTAGCCCATTCCCGATTGCCTGGCTGAACTGCCTTGCCTCTACCACGTCGGTCTGCACGAGTAACAACCATTCTAGGACAAATAACACCCATCATAAAGCCTGTCTCGTCGAAGTTGTAGAAGTCGGAGTCTGTAACCCCATATTTCGCCCTCATATTCTCTACTAGCCGGAACCATGCGCCTAGCACGTCAGGATCTTCGCATAAGGCCCTCTGGAAGTCGTAAACGCGATTAAAACGCGTCTTAAGGTCTGGTTGTCGTTGTACGAATCGATGGGCCCAGAGCTTGCCGACGCGTCTTCCCCCCCGCGATTCAAGGATAAAATTAGCCATATCTTCTACACCAGCGAGCCGGGGCGCAAATCCTCTGGAATCCATATCCAGTATATACCGAATAATCACTTCCTCTTCTAACTCAGTCAACTTATGACAATTGGCTTGAGAATCTGGGCGGTAGGTTCGGCCAGCCATTCTGTCGGAAAGAGTCGTATATGGTACATTGTAGATCTTTGCCGCAGAGCGTTTGCTTAGTTTTTTGGACGACCGAATAGCCTCGATAGCTAGAGTAATTCGCGCTTCTTGAGTTTGAATTTCCATGGTAAATAGTTGAAGAAAACGTGTGTTGAAGTTTGAGGAGGTAGTGCCAAGGAAAAGTGATCGACTCGGTGATATGATCGACTCGCTGATAAACCACGTTAGTGTTTTATATACTAATTATTATAGTATGTAATATTATTCTAGGTTAGGTAAGATTTATTATTTTTTAGTAACTACCTACCTAGTCTTTTCTTTTCTTTTCTTCTCTGTGTGTTAGTATAGAGGTAGGTATTCAGGATTTGTAACTATAGGTAATTAGTCTATGGAAGTTTGAAGTTTTTCGAAGGGAAGGAAGGGAAGGCTTGGTGGATGGGGTGTAGAGTGTGGAGGGAGGAGAGGATTAGGGTGATAGGGATGGATATTGGGATGAGAGAGGGAGAGGAGTTTGAGGATTAGGTGTTGGATTGGATTAAGAAGATATTAGGACTCTATAGAATTTGTATGGTGGAATCTAGATTTTGATTCGGGGTTTTTTGAGCTGAATAAGCTGTTAATGTAGGAAGGATAAATATAATATTAGGTGTTTATTTCGTCTTGTATGAAAGGATTGTAAGTTTAAAGGGGGGGGGGATTCACCCTGTTCTCTACTAAAGCTACCCTAGTAAACTTACGATTATTATAGTATACCTAGAGTCCTCCATACAGTTTGATACTTTGGCTATATAGTTTGACAACTAACCCGTTTAGGAAGTTAGGTGTCACGAATCACGTGCTCACGTGATACTTGTCATAATAAGAGGCGCAACCCTCGACAGGCACATCCAGGTTTCTTATAGCAAATAGGGATCGTTTGGAGTAGCTAAGCGATCCAGGGATTTCTCTGTATTGTTATCACGTGACCAGTAGTGGTCGCTTGATCGCGAGCGACTACAACGGCCAGGTCGTCTTGATCGCGGCGACCAGCAGCGATCATAGGAATGAGGATTCTATATAGGACTGGCACGTCTGCAATTAGATAGGAGCTTCGTGCTCAACTTAGTTATCAATCTTATCATATTAGTTTGACATCTTTGATACAAGTAACGAGTTCACTTCCAAGTGAACAACCCGATAGTCTTCTTCTTATCATAGCATACCAACCAGCGAACACCCAGCCAAGTTTAGTCAGCCAGTTTGAATATTCGTTACATTAGGGCGTTCTGAGAATTCCGCGTGTTAGAGTACTCAAATCACAGAGGTGGCTTTATTAACTTGTGCGGGTTAGCGTAATATGAACCCCTACCACGCTATCAAGATCTCACCAACGCCCTTGGGTTAGGGTTAGGCACCTCGTTTAGTAGCATAAGTGCTCGATAAGCGGCGGCAGCGCAGGCAGTGATAATAGAAGGGTGAAAGAGAGGTTGTTTAAATGTGAATAACTTCAAATGGTGGTTAGGTTTACTAACTTTATTATTATAAGAATGAAGACGCGTTTCCTACTTACACCTAAAATACTACTAAAGTGGAAATGCCGAGCCACTAGAATATACGGAACGCCCCTTTCGACTAAACGGCTTAGTTGTCAAACTGTATAGGAAGACTCTATACCTAGGACGAAGTACATAGAAGCTTCCTGAGCTGATCCAGCTATGGCGTCGTGGGAGATATTAACCCCAAGAACCATGGTAAGGCTTATCCATGAAGTATAGATGTCATATTTTTATTGTTCAAAACTTAATTAGCAGCGCCACTCTCGTACAGTATCCGGCGTCGTATACGAGATGTTTATTAGCTTTGTTTTTGGGGACGTCACATGGATCTTGATTCTATCGAATCTGCAAGTCTGGCATGAGGAATTTTTTTATTGTTTGTTCTCTAACCGGAGGCGTCTACGGTCTGCTGAACTTAGACCTGTGTTTTAGTAACAACTCCATCATCAAAATTATCAGCATTGAATATCGTCGCATCTTTATTAACAGGACCCTCAAAACCTTTGCTGGTAAAATTATAAGTCGTTCCCCTAAAACCCATTAGCTTTCCTTCTTCACGCGCGTGCAGAAAAAGAACACTTACGTCCCATCATTCAACGTGAATGCGTAGCTGATAACCAGATTCAGAACACCGCTCGCAGAAACCTCTCGCTGGTCGGGTATAAACTTGGAGCGGATCTCCTGGGCCGTGACTGATGTCCCCAAGTTCGAATCGAAGAGCTCGATGATGCACGGGTTGAAATTCATGGGTATTGGACCGCCGTCGTGTGTCCCGTTGCAGTGACCGCGCGCGGAGGGGCGTTCGGGGTTGGAGCCGAATCTTTCGGCTTGGAATTCGAATTCTGGAGGTGGGCGTTAGTAGGAATGGTATTCTTTCGTACAAGAGGGTTGGTTTCCTTACTGTAATCACACTTATCTACTTCGCAACGTGCTATCCAATTCACGACTCGCATGCGATAGATACCATCCTGTGGAAAATTGCTCACTTGTGGTAGTGCAAGCGATACTGATGCTGAGAGAAGAGCTGTGAGGAAGACGGTTTTGGGCAACATATTGATGTTTCTGTGGCGATATCTGAAACCTTGGACTGTGGTTTTTCTAGGTGTCTCGTAATGGATTGAGTAGAGTGACTAGTGACCGTTAGTTTTCAGAGAATATTTACCATCTATCTACCTTTATATATCTTTGTTTTTAGCATATTAAGGGCGCATTGATGCTAAAATTGGTAAGAATTGGAGAAAGGTGCCACCCTTACCAAGATGTTACGAAGGAGCCGATCAAGATGCTTGGCTGCTAGCTTGAAGCAGGGAACATGCCAACACTTTTCATCCGATTATAAAGGCCAACCCTCATGTTATGTATATTATAATGTACGATAGTCTTTTTTTATATCTAATTTAATATCAGTCGCCTTTTTCTTCGGTGGCTTGGTCACGCGTGACGAAGATGAGTAACGCACATTCCATATTCCTCCGACGACTATTAACCCAGGACCTTGGTAGATCGAATAGTTGTCATTTCCATAGGCAGTGTGGCAATTGTGCTTAACACTTTAAACATACGACTGTGAGGTTCATCTGATTCAGAAGTTGTTTAGCGTTTGACGAACTAATTTGGGAAACTCACGTTAGGCCCTCGGGAAATTAAAATAGATCACCCGTAGCCAAGAGGACGTTCTCCGGGGAGATCGTACTTCATATCTTGGAATGCAGAACTGGATGGTGGAAGTATGGCATTTTTGGATACTGCCTTTAAATTCCATATCTAAGATATAGAGTAAGAGACGTCATCGTTACTCGGTACTCTGTATATACCTCTCTTAGAATAAAATTATTCTAAAAGCGTCGTACAATTAAAACAGTTGTAAAGAGCTTGGAATATTTGCTACCGTTTACTTTTTATTAGCCTAGATATACTAATATAGTTATCTTACTTGTACTAGGAGTTTAGTCTAATTACATTTTATATGACGTGTACAGAGTAACGACTACGTCTCCTACTTAAGTAGAATGCTCATGTAGAAATATATAGCAAAATGGAAGAATTTTGTTATTTGAGTTCTACAAAAGCGGAGACAGTACAGGAATCATAAAAATCGACAATGACATGAAATATAATAAATACAATTACCTATCTCTACCTCGTAATCGCAACCAATTGGCTATTTGCTGTCGAGACAAGTATTTGAGAATTAGAGGTAATATAGACTTGATATTGTGGGTTGTTCATATCATCTATAGCATGCTACGGGGAAGTCAAATTTATTATAGATATAATTAAATACAGTAGCGCTCTGGCTGGAGCAACTAGATTTTTAGAGAGAAGTAGACATGCCTCTAGATCATGTTCCTAGCAATTGACTACCCGTTATAGCACTTTTGGAGCTACAATAATGCTAGGTATTAATCCACAATAAAAAACACCTGATTGAACTTGTAACATAGATGAAGTAATTAAAGTTGAGATATAGAGATATTTATTATAAGCGCTTATTTTTTATATCTTATGAGGTCGTTATATGAGATGACTACCCCTTTTCACAGTATAATTCCGTGATCTATATAGACGTGGGCTATAGTTATAACCAAAGTCCAAATATTAGATCCTCCTCTTGTTTCACTCGTTGTTGACTTGTTTTCTCTTAGAATTACAGTTCAAGTAAAGGGAGTATGAGGTCAAATTAAAACAAGAAGTCATTAGTAATACACCTAATTAGTTGCTTTCAAGGCTTATATACAATAGTTGTTTATGAAGATAGCTCGTTAGACTAGCAAGATCAAATTACCTAAGAGTACATATGCTCTATATAGTAATAAAGGATTTTTTCTAGAGCCTTAATTAGCAAAGTCCATGGATTTAGTAGTACTCCGGTCTAATAAACTAGTTCACTTCTTCTTTTCTTTCTTTCTGTTTTTGTTCTTAAATAAGGTTATTATTTTACCTTAGGAGTTAAGATAGGTTAGAGTAGTTTTAGTTAGAGTAAGTGAAAATTGCCTTTGTACTTTAGCAGTTCACTATTTGAGTAATAAACTATATATTAAATACAAACCTTGGCCTTTATAAAATTATAAATTATATTTTGAGAATAGTCCTCTTAATCTACCTACACTCAATGTTGCCGACCTCACCATCGCCTACTTACTATTATCTAGAGCTTTTTTCTTCTAGTCGCTATCGGTATCGTGTATAATGGAATATAAGGGACAGAGGGGTGGGAAGTACTTGTAATCGTGTTTTCGCTTAAGTAAGGCGGGAGGCTTTCCTAAACTGGCTAGATGATTACGTCACTACTTTCGCTCCTACCTCGAGGGGCCTAACTCCCATCCCCTTTCCCTTCATTAATAAATAGATACGACCGTAGGACTAGAATAGTGACATATAGTACAGGTAGTATATAAGAAGGGCAACAGAATGGCCCAAATCTATCTTATATAAAAGTGGATGAAGTGACGAAGTTTGTGGTTGAATGTTTCTTACTCTGTGCTCGGTCCCCCCATGTGCGTTCCGTATGCCTTGCTTTCGACGACGACGTACCATCATCAGCTTTCAATACCAATAACGCGCAAACCAGTCCATTCGTTACCAACCACGTCCTCATTCAGTGACGCGCAATCTTCTCTCATCTGGGCCCTCGGAAGAAGAATTTGAACCTGTGCACATTGCAGATCTCAAGATAGTGCTGGCACGAGACATCATGGAAGTCATTGAACTCGATCAATGGGCTGAGGGCCTACCAGGTAAGCCATATTGCGAGAATCGCATTGCATCTGCATGCCATTGGGTGGGTACGGCTGACTTGGTGTATTAGGTTATTCCAGAGCAAACCCCATAATCATCAAGGAATTCGACCAATCCGACCTTCTCGCCGAGTTACATCTATTCAAAAAGCTCCCCAATGAAATCCAGCTCGTGATTTGGAAAGAAGCGACCGACAGCATTCCATCACGAATTGTTCCAGTTGAACCGAAATTATCTGGAAATGTTATTCCTAGTGTCCTTCATGTCTGCTCGGCGAGTCGTGCAGAGGCAATGCACCGTTACAGACGCATGGAATGGACCAGCAACAGTACATTCTTCATCGACGTCGAAAATGATGTTCTCTTCTTCACATTAACCGCAGTCCCATGGGCCATCAAGGGTCTCACGAATGGGATTAAAAAGGTTCTAGTTTATCTTATAACTATCATGTGCTAGGAAGAGACGACTATCTCATCAAAAAATTCACTACCACAAGCGGCAATACCCCTGAAATACTTATTGCAGTCAACGGGTTTCATGCCTTGCCGTCTGGTGACCAAGTTTGTCTTCGCACGCGACATGAGTTCAAATTAGAAAGAAGAAAGGACGTTTATGATGACTCGGAGGTGAAGTCGCACATTGCCGATGCAAAAAGAGCTCTCTGTAACTATGAACCTGCGAACACATGTGCTGCGAGTTTCATCGCAGGAATGCTGGATCGCCCTGGGGATGGGGTGCCTATATACCCGCGTCCAAGTGTCGAGACATTGAGATTCGTGGAATTCGAGGAAAGTTAGCTGCAAGTAGTTTCCTGATGAGGACTCAGGACTGCCAGTTACAAGTTTGGGGTTTGCGAAACTATGGCTCGACGGTACCTGCTTGCAATGGAGATGAATCATCCGAAGGATTCTTGGCTGGGATCTCTTTCAGAATTTTAAGGTGTATCTGGTGAGGGATCGGTGGAGGACCAGGTTCTACGAGAAAAATATCGCCCAAAACCCTGTATTGCTAGACACATCTAAGCTTAGCGATGAATAAGACTATTTCCCCAATTCATCACGGTGTCTACAGAAACTTGCTGACCCCAGAGCTAAGATCCATTCTGTGTCCAGCAATGTCACATCTGGAGCTCAGGACTCAAGGTACAATTCTGTATTTCCTCAAGGCATTTGGATCACGAGAACGATGAACAGAATAAACCTGCAGGTGACCTCGGATACCGGTAGGTAATTTGTGTTTGTAAATTAAAAAGTAAACACGACTTTGAACCTTTCATCTTCGCTTTCCCCTATTCTTATCGGTAGCAAGGGACATACACATATATTCTTAGCCATAGCTCTTTTCTTTCCTTTTCTCACCTTGAAAGCTTCATTATGTTTTGAAATAACATGACGGGAATAGGAACGAGCTCTTTCTTATTTTATCTATATATCAACCACTCTTACTAAAACCTTGGAGCTTATATAGCTGAGTAATATTAGACAAGTTAGTCGAGAAGAGGCATCAGCCTTTCGTGAAGGCTTGCCTATATTACACCAGTAGTAAAAGACGCGGTATTTGCTTTATACACACCTAATTTACAAAAAATGGTATCCTAACAGTCACGCACAACTAAAATATGAATATAAGCGATTGGAGATAAGCCTTTTCTTGACATACGTATACCAAAACAACTAGATTACTTGTACTAGACACTTGGTATAATGATTTTTCATAGCGTGTACAGAGTAACGACCAGGTCTTTTACTTATCAAAACTTATAATTATCTTGCGTTACTCGACGTATAATTCTCAAATTTGTTTCTGTATGGTTGTATACCTCCAGCGAATAGTCAGCAGTCTGCTGAGGGATTTTGTACTCACCTGGTTATGAGAACTTCAATTAGTGTTTGCACTATTTTTTAAAGTCATGACTCTCTTAAATTGATATGCTTGTGACTCTGGTGTTCTTGGGGTACACCTGGATGTAGTAGAGTTACTGGTTATATTCTCGAAAACACCAAGCCGTACCTCGATGCCTCAAGGTGTATCGGGAGCACGAACGTAGGACTCGAAAACCACCACCAAAATCTACAAGTTATCAAAATGAAAGTCAGAACCTTGATTGACAGCATGTGCGATTTGTGGAGATCTTGAGAAGTTGGAGTGACGCTGTAGGTAGGAGACAAAGGGAAGGCGTAAAGGAGGGGGGTGGGGGGGGAGCTTCCATTTACGGAAACACCAACGCATATATATATATATATATATATCTACGCATTGCCTGGCCTGGAGCACTTCGAAAACAATCACCTTCATAGCGTCAACAAGCAACACTCTCACGCTCTCATAGTTGAAGATGTCTACAAGTATTTCGTCAACCACGAAACGGCGCAAAACAAAAAAGAGCAGACGGGAACGTGAACGCGTCATTCTCAAACAATTTGTAAGTACTCTTGCATATACATAGACGCGCATCGCAACACACGCGCTGCCGTGTAAATTGACAGACTGACACTATGTAGGACAACGACCTCGAAACAACAACGCCAGAACACTGGGGAGAAGCAATGGAGAAGGTGCCGGACTTGTCTCAATTCTTAATTCAACTAGTTGGTGCATCTGATTCGCAGGACTTGAATTATTGGACTAAAGACGCGTAGGACCTCGCATCAGCATCAACTTCGAATTCATCTCAGCTTCAAGAAAATGGCTTGCCTAATCTTTCCAATGGGACCTGGAGCACACTCATGACCTTTCACGTATTCAAAAAGCTACCCCCGGAGCTACGCCACAGGATTTGGGAGCTCGTCGACCAGATTCCGCCCCGACTTGTGGTGATTCCGCAGCAGCCACAGGTTTACCCAGCCATAACTCAAGTGTGCTCTGAAAGCCGAGCTGTTGCTTTCAGAGGATACGTCAGGTTTGAAGACCCAGAGTGTCATAATGACAATGCTCCTGCCATTTGGCTCCACCCTCATCGGGATACTCTTTATATGAGAACATCTTTACTCAGACGGCCCTATTATCAAGAAATCTCCGGTTCAAACCTTGCAGATGTCGTTTTCCTCGAACTATCACTTTACCTCAAGCTTCTCAGTTCGGCCAGAAATGTTGCTATCCCTGTGCGCTGTCGAGAACTCCTCCAATCAACCTTCGGAGCTGCGACTCGACTTGGTTGGCTGGGAGAGGGAGTTCCGAAATGTCAAATTGGCGAAAACGTCGAGTTTTGGAAAATGATTGCACAGTTCTGCCCAGAAGTGCAGTTCTTATTCATGATTACTGGAAATTGGGTGGATGCCCGGTTTTACAAAGGCATAGTGCAATCACCTCGCGGAGAATATCTCTACAACCGCCTTGTGAAGTCAAAGCAGGTTGCGCGAGATGCAGAAGCGTTCCTTGAATTATCGGACTTTTGGGGTGCGGATCAGCAAGGCAGTCGCAAGTCAGTTACTGCAACATGGATACTTGGACGGTACCCCTCACTTGATTTCAGTGTCCCTAGTCTCATGATTCCACATGGCCAATCTTTACAGTACCATAATTGAATCCTCAATCGTGGAGGACTTTCATATATACCCTTTTCCTTTTTGCGTATATCATCTTCCTCATTGCACATCCTAGATTATAATATTGCAGACACAATTGCTGGAAGGGTGGGTATATAAGGGAAGGCTTCAAAGCATAGATATATTCTGCAAATCGCGTTGAACTGAGTGGTGGAGATTCTAATCGAAATCCATTCTTCCAATATGGGCTATCTTTAGCTGGCGGGGTGCAAGGTCAATAACGAGATTCTTGAATTTATCAGTGTAGTCATGCGAAGGTTTCAAATCAAACTTGCGTAGAGTTCTCCAACATCTGGTCGGATATCACATAGTATGAAATCAAAATCATGGAGCAATTACTTGCCTACAAATTTTTCGTGTATCTATAATTTCTTGGTGTTCGTTTGTAAGAAAACCTTCATGAATGAATTGCGAAATTACAGATTGTGAAAGTGGACTGGCTTTTTGTGATAAGCGAGCCAAGCCCCTCGTCACTTCGCTTTTGTTAAGCATCATAGTGCAACACCATACAATTTCATACCATTCTGTGACAAATTATTAAGGGGCATTGGGTGTGGTTTTTGAGTTGTTAAAAGAACGTGTTCTTAGAATGATGCAAAATGACTGAAAGTATAGCTGGTAATAGATCGTAAGAGGTTGAAATAATGGGGCGCATGGCATGGGAGGAGTAAGTCTTGGGTCACTGAAAGAAAACTGATCTTGATTAGAGTATATGGACATGGTAGTTCCCTTGTTCTGAAGTGAAACTGGAACTTGCAAAGAAAAATGGGCATTTCGCTACTGAGTGATGTTTACAGGTTTCACTCAAAAATAAGCGAGGTCTTGGTGAAATTTGCGTACTTATCAACTGTGATATTGGCTTATTGTAAGCTACTGCTGAGAATGACCTACACTAGTCCAAAAGTGGATATACAGGAAGCTTAAATTTGGACGAGGGTTAGTGGTCTACATGTACTGTGCCATAGGTATGGCAGACTTCTAACAGCACGCTTCTACCATCATTCCATTGCCTAATAGGAACTAATGTATATAGAATCATATTAGTATTTAGTGATACACTATCAACCAATTTTTATTTGACCAAAAGAAGGAAAGAGAGAGACCCGTTGATGTCAGATATTGATAGAGACAAAGGTAAAGTGATTGTAAATAGTGAATACATGTCGTCACAGATAGTGAGGAATATCGGCATATCGGCATATCGGCTCGTTAATTTCCGACCACCATTTGTTTTGTCTTCTGCGCTTCTTTCTGATTTTTCAAATCTCTGACAACGACAACCTTAACGCTGACGCCCGCAATGTCGTTAATCTTGAGAAAGCACGTCTGCGAATTTACCCAAGCCATAAAAGTACTGACTGAGGAGTGGGGAGAGGATTGGGCGACCCAAGAATCTCCTCCAGCCAACCAGGTCAGTAACTCTGACAATTTTGCCTCACTCAAGCTAACTCCCGCCAGATAGGACGCGTTGAGGGTGTTGAACTTGTCCAGGATGTTGAGCATGTTGTCTTCGCAAACCGCGATGATCATGGCGCGAACCGAAAGCGCTTCATCATCTTCGACCCTCTTGTTGTGCAAGAATTGAGAGTCCAGAGTCTCAAGAGTGCCGTCAGACCTGAAGTCTTCAACTCTTAAATCTTCGAAGCTACGATTCCCGATCGCCATCACCCTCAAGAAGTCTTCGCCAAATTCAAGGACTTTCCCAATGAAATACAGGCCAAGATCTGGCGTTTCGCCATTGCCAACCTCCCAACACAAGTTCTTCGATGCTCCATCTACCCTTCACTCGTCCCCTCGCTTCTTCAAGTTTGTCACTTATCGCGGGTTGAAACTCTGAAAGTCTACCGCGAGTATACTATACCATGGCGAAGAATGGGCCTAGAACTTTTGCCTGTTTTCACCTTTCCAAACATCTTCATTCGCGGAGACAAGGACATTTGCCTCGTCCAATGGAACCAAATAAAACTCAATCGCAGCCTGGATGTCGACAACGCCAACGTCATCGGATTTCGCTACGAATACACCTCCGGCTCCCTCCTTTTCCCCCCGATCCCAGCACAGTTCAACCTATTTGCACAATCATGCACACGGCTCGCTCTGGATATTGTACAAGTCTTCTGGAGTTACTTGGTCAATTTCGAGATGAACTTCTTTGAGCTCTTGATTGTCTTGAGATACCGCTGCCCACACATCCGAGAGTTCATTCTGGTTTGCGAAGGCGTGGGACTCCGTATGATGCCGTCCGAGTTCCAGAGTTGGCCAAAGGATCACCCTGTCTTCAGTCCAATTGGCTAGGGGTGGAAGCCGTGGTTTATATTCGAAGCGTTTCAAAAATTGGAACTTTTCAAAGGTGTTACTTTCAAGCTTGTTAGATATGTTGATGGTGGACGTCCAGCGGTTGCAAGTAATTAGTAAAGTCTATGGGTAACCTGTGGCTGTTCTTTCGGATTTCTATACTAGATATGATTTCCAGGCTTAGTAAACTGAGCACATTTGCCAAGCATCTCCTATCATTGCCCTGTTGGTGACTAGAGTGCAATGACCTGCAGATATGTAAGACACGTAATTGTTAGTCTGTACACACCTTTCTTAGAATGATATTAGTCTAAAAGTCTCGTACAACTAAAACAGTTATATAAAGAGCTCGGGTGAGTTTTACTACTCACCTTTTATCAATTTAGGTAATCTATTACAATTATTTTACTTTTGCTAGAAGTTTGGTAGAATAACTTTTCATAAAGTATTTACAGAGTAATGACTATTGACCAGATTTCTTATCTGGGTGCTTCTAGTAATTCTGGCTAATCACGACGTTCTCGATTGAAACTTCGTTCAATCTCTCATGAGGCTCCTCAAGGATACAGTACTTTATCAGGTGGTTAGAGTTTTCCCGCAAACCAGCAACTCGATTTTTTTCTCAATTAATCAAAGAAGAGTAAAGATTGTATATCGACTTCTACCGTCGGCTTTCCCAGCCCAATGGTCTGACAGAGGACTTCAAAATCGTCTTTTGCTAAATAGACTTGATGTCGCTAATCCTGGTCAAACAGCCCCTCGAACAGACTCAGTCTAGGGGATACAACATATTTTATACAACAAATCCGCGACAAACGTCCTCCGAATATCGTGAAGACATCCTTATATCTTCATTCTCCAGATTCCACAATTGCCTCGTACTCAATCACTCCACGGCGTGATCCTTAAATCACGCCCACGTCCTCCTTGAGGGTCACCATTATGTCTGCAAGCATTCGACCAAACATCATCCCCTATAATCTTCCCATCGTAGCTGAAGCAGAAAGACTCTTCGACAGTTTTGTTCTTCGGGATTCTAACCTCGCAATTATCGCAGCCGGCGTTGTCTCTGTAATCATAACATGTTCTAATGGTTGAGTCGAGGTGAACTTTGCCGAGGATTGCGTCTTCGTCACACCAGCCTTCCGTCCACCAGGTCCAGCAGTGGGTACCAGTAGCTAGCACGGAGAGGACGACGAGGTTTTGTAGGTGCATTTTGGTATTGATCTTGTCCTAAGGATGGCTTGCGATTAAATGTATGTCTTTGAGTGGATAACGGTCCAAGGGCAAGAGAGAGTAGCAACTGAATTAATTAGAGTCGGCTGGGCAGAAGAGAGATAGCTATCTATATGTAATGACACACCTCAATGAAGCGCAGAGTTAATGAGTGTTTAATTGAGTACTTTGTCCCATGCTTAATAATAGTAACTTTTCCAGGGTAACTTCAGTGAAGTACAGGGTAAAACCCCCACTTAGAAAAGTTATAATCATTAGACCTGGGGCGAAGTATAAGTCCACAAGTAAGGTAGGATATAGTGCCTCGTATTATTTGACAGGGTTCTACTCCCCCCCTCTGTTTCAAAGGTTATTTTTCGTATGCGCTTGCACCAGAAAAATGACCTTGTGTTTAAGTGACGGAGAGTAGAGTATCTGCTGTTTTCTTGGCAGGGTATCCAACAAGCTATTTTATATGTGCATTTCTTAGCTCAATAGAATCCAGGATTACCAAGCTTTCTAGTGTAAGGGGTTACATTTTCTAGCCGTCCCGTAGGAACTCTAGATAAGGCCGCGTAAGCGAGTACCAATACTTTAATATTGTTACACTCTATATATATGGTTGTGAAAGGAATTATTCTGGTGTTCTATGTAAACCAAATTCTCGTATACGACTTTCTCTATATGCTTATCAGAAAAATGTGCCTTTTCTTCCTCCTACTCTAGCTACGCTTACGCTTATATCCCTGTACGAGGGAAGAATAACTGTCAACGTACTTCGGGGTTCCTTGTACTCCCCTCTACCTTATTGATATGAAATATATCCTTCTATAAGGGGTTTCCAAGAACCCAGAAAAGGACTATTTGTCTCTAGCCTCGTGATCGCTACTATATAAGATTACGAGCGTAGAGGTCAGGGTTGTCGGGTTCATATATCTGAAGTATCACCTAACGCCGATGTTGTTGCTACTTTAAATATTACTTAAGCTACTATACGCTTAAAGTGTGTCGGCATTTATTCTTCCCCGCTGACTAATTAAATAGCTCTAACACCCACCTCAAAAGCGGAATGAATATACCGTCAATCCTCAATACGGAGGGTTGCCCTAGGTATAGATGCCGTAATTCTGGCCTGACCTATACCAAAATTTCCTGGAACTGCACTTGCTATGGATTTTAAAGAGAATTAGCATTAAGTCGGGAGCACCCACTTTGGATCTGAAGCATCGACACCTTGCACGTCCGTATCGAGTTTGAAAGGTTTATAAAGCAGCTTTCCTTCTTTGGCTAGCTAACCCTGATCATTCTCTCAAAGACATAACTTATTCAATCATAAGCGAGATAACAACAAAAGTCGACTAAGAAACCTCTTCGTCCTCACAGGCTGAGCTAATGGTGCCTACTACGGCTAGCTTAAAGCCTGGTATAACTACAACAAAGCGATCAATACCATCGACCTACTCGTAACTCGTCAAACATATATTTAATTAAAGGGACTCCAGCAGCTGTGATGATTACCGGCTACTTAATATAAGCGAAACGATATTCTATCATAGCTCCGACGAATTATTAAATTATTCCACTTAGTTATAAGCCTGTTAATATAATAGTACCCTGAAAGGAGAACATAGCGAACGAGCACCTTAGCGTAACCGGAGCGTAGATATTAGGAACCTAGAATAGGGATTTATTGTAATATATTTTATACTTATTTATTTCCTTTCCTCGATATCTTTAGATATTTCTATCCTAACGTGATTCTAAAGAAAAATATTCAATAATAACTTTATAATCTTATAATAAGAACATTCTAGTCCTAGACTTATTATATGTTATGAATGAAGTAATATAGGAAGATAGAAGGAAAGTTTTCTATCGCGAAACGAAAATATAACGCTTAATATAGTAGCGTAGAAGGGAAGACGTACTAACTACCGTAGGGGAAGTAATAATTCAATTAAATGTAAAAATATAAGTTTTTCGTTGCCTATATTTTATGGTCCATTCCGAATCAGAAGAAAACTCCTCCAAGATCTAAACATTATAAGTGTTATTAGCTAGCAGGAGCTCCGAGGTCGCTTACCCCACACATCCTTCACTCCCACCCCGCAGCGCCGGTCCCGACTCCCGACTCCCGAAACCTCACAGCATCTCAAATATTTCCCCACCATCCATCAACCTCCATCAACCTACCTCCCCTCCCCAAACACAATCGCATACAGAACTACAATCACACACGCACTCTCAGCGCAATCCATCAATCTCCCAAAATGCCAACCTTAGAAACAGCCCAATCATGGCTCCAACAATCCACGCTCCTCCTTCAAGCACGTCCTTCAACCGTACGTCAACCCCCCTTCCACTTCCCCTCCCTCTCCCTCCCCCAAACCAAAACCCCAACTAAACCCCTCAGACAAGAATAACAACAAAATACACCCTCCCCCGCCACGCAAACCCCCTCTCCAAATCCTCCACTCACCCTAAACCCCCAAAAACCACACCTTCCACCCCTCCCACTACGGCAACAGCACCCGCAACAACAGCAACCGCAACACTAACCCTCAAAACCTACGACCCCGTCTCAGGGACGACCCTCAAGTACCGGACGAATAAAGCAGCGGAGGTGGGGCGGTTGATTCAGATCCTGGGACGGCTGGCGAGACCGATGATGGTTGGGTTGGGGGAGGTGAAGGAGGATGTGAAGGAGGAGGTGAAGGAGGATGAGGGGGGTGAGACGGGTGGGGGTGTGGGTGTGGGTGTGGGTGGGAAGGAGAAGGGGAATGCGAATGCGGGGACTGGGACTGGGACTGGGGGTGTGGGAAAGAAAGGGAAGAAGAAGGGGAAGAAGTGAGGGTTTGCTCGGGGGGTTTCTGTTATTGTGGGGGGGAATTGGAATTGGGAATTGAAAAGAGAGTGGCCTCGGTGGGGTGTGCAAGATTTCTGGACGGAGGGGGTGAAAATCAGCGATGGAAGATTTGCAGTTGCATCAAAAGAAGCATTGGAATTGGCGTTCCGGGGCGAGCATACAATTCGCAAAGAGCGCATAAGAGCATAGAGGTTTTTAGCGATTGAGTTCATCGGATGTGGTTGAGGATGGATGTAGATTGAGACATGATTTGCGCTGCGGATTAGCTTTAGGTTGTGGGGGAAGCTTTTTGTGGGTAGGCGCGAGGTAATCTACAATAAAAAGAAGATGTATGATTGTCAGTCCAGTCCAAGAACAAGCTGCCTACTATCGCTTGATGCTTTTCCTCAGTGCTCAAGAGAAACAACAAGTCCAGGATAATATCATTATGTCAAGTTTGATTATCACATTGCCTCAAGTCAAGATTGTATTCATATTAATATTTCATTCTCATCTCTGCTCTTCCTAACTACTTGGTATTCATTATCCTATCCCATCACTCATGCCATCCCAACCCCAGAGAGTATTCCACTCCCAACGCCAGCACTCCGAAAAAGAATTTTTGTTGTACAATAAAATGCCAATACGTTTACATCCGGCGAACCCAGCCATCCATGCAACGACTTTGTATGAGAAGAGAAATGTGCTATGCAGCAATCCACAAATGGGTAGTCCAGAACGCCAATAAACAAACAAATCATAGAGCAGAAAGCAAGAACCAAAGCCATCTAGAAGTCTTCATCAAAGTTGAAGTTACCTCCATTCTCGGCCTTGGCCTCGGTTTGTGCATCAGTGTCCTCGTGCTTCTTCTGAGTACCAGCCATGACACCGGCCTTTTGGTAATCAGCAACACGCTTCTCGAAGAAGTTGGTCTTTCCGGCCAGAGAGATATTCTCCATGAAGTCAAATGGGTTGGCAACCTTGTAGACCTTCTCATTGCCGAGTGAGAGGAGAAGGCGATCAGCAACGAACTCGATGTATTGCTTCATCAAGCCAGCGTTCATACCAAGGAGAGCACATGGAAGAGCCTCAGTCAAGAACTCTTGCTCAATCTCAACAGCCTCGGTGATGACAGCTTGGACAGCAGCCTTGCTTGGGCGGTGCTTGAGATGGGAGAAGAGGAGGCATGCAAAATCGGTGTGGAGACCCTCATCACGAGAGATCAACTCGTTGGAGAAAGTAAGACCAGCCATAAGACCACGCTTCTTCAACCAAAATATGGATGCGAAAGAACCACTAAAGAAGATACCCTCAACAGCAGCAAAGGCAACAAGACGTTGAGCAAAGGTAGACTCCTTGTCCTGGATCCAACGAACAGCCCAGTCGGCCTTCTTCTTGATGCAAGGAACTAGTGACGCGTTAGTTTGTAGGCATACAGAATGCAAGATAGTAAAACTTACTGGTTTCAATAGCATTGAAGAGGTAGGTCTTTTGTGCCTGTTCCATAATGTAGGTATCAATAAGGAGGGAGTAGGTCTCAGAGTGAATGTTCTCCATCATGATCTGGAAACCATAGAAGAATCGGGCCTCAGGAACTTGAACTTCATTGCTGAAGCGCTCAAGGAGGTTCTCATTGACAATTCCGTCAGAAGCAGCGAAGAAAGCGAGGACGTGGGAGATGAAGTAACGCTCGTCATCGTTAAGCTTGTTGTTCCAGTCATTGAGATCCTTGGATAGATCAATCTCCTCAGCAGTCCAGAACGAAGCCTCAGCCTTCTTGTACATTTGCCAGATCTAAACGGGGGATGTTAGAAACCACTCTACGCGTCCGGAGGTAGTTGAACGCGACTTACCTCATGGTACTTGATTGGGAAGATCACAAATCGGTTTGGGTTCTCTTGGAGAAGCGGCTCATCTGCCTCCTCTGGCTTGATGGTGGGGACAACAAGAGCTAGCTCATCTGCCTTCTTTTGAGAGAGTTGCTCAATCTTTGCCTGGCTTTGTGCAAGCAATGCCTTGAGATCTTGGATCTCCTTGCAGGCGGCAGATGTATATGATAGTGCGGGGGACTCGACAACTGATTGTTCAATGGTAGACGCGTTGAGATCAGAAATAGGGGCGTTCTCCTTGTCGGCAGAGCCAAAATCAAGCTTCTTGACGGGCGAAGACATCTTGAGGTTCTCAATGGCAGATGCAGTCTACGTAATTGTATGTTAGGATCGTGAACAGACGCGACTCGGTCGGCGAGACAAAGGACAAAGGGATTCTGTGGCAAGGAGCTACTTACAGCCTTGGAAGGAGTGACTTGGTCAGTCATGATGATCAACGGAGTATGTAGAAGTGTATTTGTGTATGAGAAATTAATTGAAGGGAGCAGGTGCAGTGGTAGAAGAATGTCGAGTTGTGTTGATGATTTTCTGAGAGGGGACCTGCAGGCAAGCTTAAGAACTCTGCGAAATCCGCTGTCACGTGGGCACGGAGACGCAATTTCTGCCAAACTTCGCGTCTACCCTGTCGGTCGCGTCAATTCACGAGGCTGGAAGTCGGACCCACCACCATCTGACCACTCACAATGGCAGACTCGCACTTCCTTGTTTGACCCAAGACTCAAATCTGTCCCAGCCATGAGTTTTGACATACAAGGGTGCGCGTCGCGCAGGAAACCGATATTCTGTGGGTGAGGCTAAGCTGAAAGGGGTCACAAAAAGTGGCTCTTCATGGACCTCAGACTGCGAGAGAAACACAAACTATTTCTAAAAGTGGCATCAGAATCTTCTCTGCATAGTCATGGCATCATCGTCTTATTGACTCATGCACTTTCATTCATGTTATGTGTAAGACATCACGCTGAGTACTTGTGATTTCAACCACTGGGAGGAATGCATGCATATGTGCTGAGCCGCACTGCATAAACAATGGTATAACTCAAGCACAATGTTTTGCTTATGAATGTTCTTAAGATGCCAGTACATGAATCGCTTGCTTATTGTTCTGTCTTTCTCAAAGTCAATGGATCTTTTAAAATTAAGAGTAGATTATGCCCCACTTTGACTTAGATTGACATTTAAATACTAGTCAAAAACCCCTCACTTTCTATATCTCCAGATTCCATACCTACCACAAAAGCACACACCAAACCACGCTCACACAAAAATCCACCACCTTATCTACACATCCCCCACAAAATACTCAAAACTCCCCCGGTCCCTTACCAAAATAACTACCATTCTTGACCTTCAACCAAGGGACAGACTTCGAGTCATACGTATCCTCACCAACCGTATTTCCCCACCAGTTGAACTCAATATTATTGTAACTCAAAGCGAAAAAGATAAGTACCGTCGCAAGCGCGGTGCCGGTATCCATCGCAGCTTGGAGAAGATCTGTGAGGGATTCAATTAGTCCTGAAAAGGATGGTAAGGATCGGGATATGTTTACAGTTGTATCTTTTCCACCAGTCGAATTTACGTCTTCGGATGAGGTAGTTGAAGAGATAGCCGAAGATAAACCAGAGGGAGTATTGAGCTACGCGTTATCAGCTTTACTTTAAGAAATATTGTAGTCAGGGAGTGTCCGGGACGTACTTGTTGTAGCGGGAGGAATTAGACCTGCCGCGTTGAAGAAAATCGGGACGTTGATGTATCGTACCCAGGTATGTGGATATCTTCGATATACCAGCCAGACGAGGACCGTTACCACCGGCTGCCACACAGAAATTAGAAAACGATCGTATCTAATTGAATGACGAAGACATACCCCGATGAGAAAAAAATACATGATTGCATTATACACCTGGCCGGGTTGGAACATTCTCTGCGGACCAATGGAACCCCAAATGAGGGAGGCGCTGTACACTGTTTTGGCGCCGTTACATGTGAAGCGTTGTTTGTTGGTTGGTTTGCATAAGTCCTTGATATTGCTTAACATCCAGCGGAATACTAGGCAATTCAGTGTCTATTTGTTTGAAGGGGTAAATATACTAACCGCCTGTTTGAACCGCAGATGCGAGGATTGTTGAATAAATTTGGCCGACGAAGAGAACCCGAGGTGGGATTTTCTAGTAGCAATCAGTATTGTTTAGACTCGATCCAGAGTTTCCCTTACCATATATTGCCCAAGTTTCAGATCCTGTATAAAATCCATCCCGTGTCTAACGGCATTGTAACCATATACTTTGACATACATATTTGCAATTGGCTTTCCAGGCCATATATAACCAGCCATGAGCTCAGTGATAACGTTCAAATACCTAGGATCCCAATGTTAGCAAAAATGCACCTAACTAACAAAAACCAACACTCTCTGATTCGTCGTCCCTTCCAAGATCGCCTCCGGAATCATCATCAAAGCAGCCAATCCAAAACAAACAACTATGAAGCCCCAAATGGGCAATCCAGATTCTCAATGGGACACCGTGAAGCTCCCTAAGACCAATACAACCACGCTCAACATGATATACCACCAGTCAGGGACCTCTTTATACTGATTCATCAGCCGCTTGTGGATATCCTCTCCTCCGGAACGAGCGTCCTTGAATTTGGCCCAGATGTCTTTGCCGTTGTATAGATATGTGTGGATGACAAGGGACGTGACGGCGGCGAAGGAGAGAGCGAAGGTGATGGAGTAGGACATGGATATGTACATGGGAGAGTAGGCTTCGTAGTTTTTGGGGATGAGGTTGAGGTTTTTGTCGACGACGCGGGAGGTGTTGTATGTCTTTCCGGTGTTGTCGAATGTGCTTGCGGATAAGAAAGACAGGCTGTGTATGTCAGCATTAATATATGTCGTTACTTGTACATAAACAACATAGAAGTGCGATCATTGGAGTCACGAATATTGGAACTTACTAGGCACTGTTCCATACGTTTGTATAATATAGAATAGGCGAAATAAAGAAGTAGAAAAGGACAATCACGGCAAAAGCATTACGGGTGATGTAGAAAGGGGTAATTAAGGGACTTCCGGCGTAATCTAGATGGATTTTAGCCTTCTTCTACTACGTGCAAGAAACAAAACACTGAACATCTCCGGGTCTTGGAGGGTTAAAGGCTCAAATGTCCAAATTGAAACAATGAGAATTTACAATACTGGGAGATGAGTACATACTGATCTGAGTCCAATCAAAGCTAATAGGTAAAAGACCCAATCCCGATTTCATCTAGATATGCGTAAGCCCTGTTCATAATTCATCATAGCGATAAAATATCTTACCCCAAATAAAACATTAACTTTCTGGTTCGTAGGGAAAATCCAGGTGATGAAAGCAAATGTAGACAAGCTCGTCCATATATAATCGGGAAACAAAAAGATAACAAAAGCTATGATTGTAAAGTAGCTGAAGAATCTATACCGACTCATTGTCCAGCCATTCGCAGGTGGCTCCTTTCTCTTCGGCTCGTGGAGAGTGCGAAATAGGACTGTGGAGGTGAGTGAGTTGGGCCAGATGAGAGCTGCAGGATAGACGGTCCAGCGTCGAGTGAGACCAGCAAGGCCGAAGCTAGGTACCTCATCAGCATGTTGCAGAAGGAAATAGCAGACAGTTCCTAGTAGAGCGAACTCACCCGAGAGACTGGGAAGTCAAGAGATACAAAAAAGCGAAACCGGCTCCATTGTCGTGGTTCCAGAAGATAGGGCTGGAAAGTGCTGCGAGTGATCCTAAGCCATATGCCGCATTGGTAGATACATTAACGCACTGTTTTCATGTTAGAAAAAGTCATTACAATACTCCTACAGCATATCTAATGGAAGGTATCGTTGAGCTTACAATTACGATCAGTGCATGCTCCTTAGTTGTAAAAACCCCCGGGTTAACATCAAAAGTAAAACGACCGAGAGGGACTCGCCAGCGAGGAAGCTTTTCCCAAGCACGCCCGATAGGAAACACAAGGAGCTGAGCTACAACATATCCAAGGGAAAGGAAGGGCTAGGATCGGTTAGTGTTGTTGGTAATTGCGGATAGGTAAATTTACGTAGCGTAGACCAAAGAACTGATTCAGACCAGAAAGGAGGATCACAAAGATAGTGGTCAAAATCCATGCTCGTACTGTGTTGCATGCAATCGTGGAATCATCTGTGTTGTTCACGCAAGCCGCAACCTCTGGAACTAATAGAAGGTCAGCCGCGGATTGAAGTTGGATCTTTCATAACTTACATGGCGATTGATCGCCATCAACACTCCAGGTCAGAGCCTCGACAGGTGTCAGTTCAGTTTTTTCTGATCGCTTGTATAATTCGGCACCCTTCAAATTAACTCTTCTCTCGGCTTCATACTCGATATCCGATGATTTCGACTGGCCAATATCTTTCTCCTCGGTTTTCTCAGTTTTGTCGACATCTTGCGCACTAGGAGTTGTGTGTCCGCTATCAGAACCGACATGGTGAGAGGCGGAAAACATCTCGGCGGGTTTGTAGCGATCGCAAAGGTGGCGCTACTGTACTGTACTGTACTATAAGACTTACAGCAAAGTGTGGCATAAAAAACAACTTACAAGTACTGCTCTATACATGCGCCAACGGCATGATCTTACGAATCTGGCGCTCTCTGGATGTTGTATCAAGCTTTTTTTTTTAATTCGCACAGGGTATCAACGACCATCTAATGGCGAATCCGTCTCAAACTCAACCAGTTGACTTCTGCTAGACCGCCTCACTTTTGACTCGCGAGCACCATCCCTCACCGACCTACCCTTCATGAAATCAACGTTACAAAACGCAATTACAGCATATCTAACCTACAATCCTTTTACTTTCATTGTTATTATTGGCCTTTTCATTTATCAAGGCTAGCCAAATCTTGGAAGTTTTCACCCTCGATAACCGCAAGAAACTCTGAGCATAAGAGTGGGGCATCTAAAGAAAGGGACGATGACGTTTGTCAAAAAGTATAAAAGCGGTTTAGCAGAAACCCAACAGTTTCAACAATTATTTCCGGGGGTAGCACTGGTAAAAGTAGTAGTTACAAGGTACACACCATACTGTAGTGCTTGCTTAGCTTTTTTCAGGAAAGCTTTGTTGACGTCTTTTGGTGTTATTCCCGGTTAGTCCTACGAGCACGACTTGATAATTACCAGTACCGGGAAAGTACAAGTACCAACGGATGTATTGATCCAGAAGTTTAAACTTTATTGATACTCGTCTCCTTGTAGGATACTGGTTACTACTTGTACATCTGCAAGTCGCTTACCCGGTTCCTGGGAGATATCTGCGTCTGCATCCCACTTCTTTCGCTTGCAGACTACACCACAACAGCTGGCAGTGTTCGCCGATTTCGATATACTACATGACATGATCTTCTGCAGGGCACCTCGATAGTTTGGGAATATTTTCCTAACGTTTGTGATAGTGAGAGGTTTATCCTCCTAATGTTCGCTACTCCCGAAACTCTTCTCTTACATACTTCACAATCATCACAGGTCGTTTTTACTCATTCAGTAGCCGTCAAACATATTACCAGAAATACAAAATAGCCTCTTTTCATTGGGCGTACTTTTCTCCCTAATTACCTCGGTACATATCCCCACTAAGAGTCTTTGTCTCCCCATGGAGGTGAGTTTACAAAAAGCTCATCGCTCCACAAGCCTGCTATTCTTTGTGAATGATTATATACTGAATAATTATCTCTTAATCAACCAGTGGGTTTAGCGAGAAGCTAAAATGTACTACTGAGCCTTTCATTCCGTCCCTGAGAATTACTTAAAACCCATTCCTAAAGACATACACAAAGGAGGTGAATAACACGAACTAGCTACGGAAACATACCTGAAAGAAGCACCATGAGAGGCCAGGTCTTTATTCTATACGCACCTAGCTTGCTGCTTACAATAAAATTATCCTAAAGCCCTCGTATAGCCAAAAGTTGAATGCGCGGGTGGAAGAATTTGTTACATGCTACTTTTTGCAAACCTTCGTCTCCTATCTGTACAAGAATTGAGTTACTTGTGCTAGACGTTTGGCATACTAACATTTCTAGCTTGTACACCCAAAATCAATGACTAGGATTATTACAGAAGAATGTGGATGATGTTCCTTCCCGAAATTCCCTGTCCTTTTCCAACTGACTTAAAATTGCCTACATCTACGACAAAATACTCTATATTTCCTCTACCAAAACATCGACAAACGCCCAACCTACATTTCCAAAAAGTCCAACGACATAAGAACACACCTCTATCAGCCCATCGCCCAGATTCTCCCAATACCTTCACAGCATTCGTATTCGTCTCTCCAGCGCTCTTCAAGAAACTTCTACAAAGCGCAATTCTTCGCCCTCACCTCGTTCCCCCTTCACCCTTCCTCCATCCCCATTCTCCCCACACGCTGCATCGAAGACGTCAAAGACGGTATAACGCTATTGGCCGCACTCCCGAGTCCCTAGGTACAACGGAGCTAGGGACTCCAGATCGATGTGCGGATCAGAGACGAATGTAAGTAGAGAGAAACGGGTGTGAAGGGCGACATAACGAATATTCGGCTTATTCTGAGGTCAAAGATGTACTGTGTATCTTGGGACATGGGAGGAGGTATCGGATGGTACGGATGGGTAGTCTGGTAGTTCAGGCGACCGAGTAAGATTAGCTTTGATGTGGTACGGTATTCGATCCCTACCACAAATTTCATTTTACCATTCATCCTTTCGTGCATTTCTTTTCGAGGCAAAGCTTGCTTTCGAAATTCTGCGTTTTTTTGGGTATTGCAAGAGTTGGATTGGGCGTTCAAGGGGTTGTCCCTCGCTTAGGAGTTTAAAGTGGATCAGGTCTTTGTCCGTTCCGTATGTATGGAGTATTATTGAGACTTAAATCTTATCTCAATAGCGGCTTGCCTCAACAGATTCCAATCCCATAATCAAAGATTGATAATATGAGAATAATTGAGTCGAAGACTGCGTTAAAATTAAATAGAATAGATTAACTAATAGGGTCTTAATCTTAGTTATTCTAATCAACTCGACCTCCTAATCAGGGTTAATCGCTTAATTAACTATATAATCTAATTAAATAGATTAATTCGGGCCGAAGCGTCGGACCGACGGACCGAGGGCTCAGAGGGTGCTCGGCGTACTACGTAGGTGCTCGGCGTACTACGTAGAAGCTAAGCGAGAGCCCCTTGTACTTGTCTTTACTAGGAACATTCCTATAGAGTAGGAATAAGTCTCGGCGTAGCTCTATACTAAAGAATATACTATAATATAATTTGTTTACATTTCTTATCTATAGGAACGTTCCTAGATAAGAATAATAAAGTATTTTACTGTAACGAATACTCAAACTGGCTAACTAAACTTGGCTGGGTGTTCGCTGGTTGGTATGCTATGATAAGAAGAAGACTATCGGGTTGTTCACTTGGAAGTGAACTCGTTACTTGTATCAAAGATGTCAAACTAATATGATAAGATTGATAACTAAGTTGAGCACGAAGCTCCTATCTGAATGGCAGACGTGCCAGTCTTATATAGAGGACCTTCGTTCTGTCTTGATCACTCTCATCGACTGTCGATGTTGGCGATCATCGCTTTCATCGACAACGATAATGTCGATGAAGCTTATCACGTGATTTCTTCCTGTGAAATCCTTGGATCGTCTAGCTAGTCTATTCGATCCCTATTTGCTATAAGAGCTTGTGATGTGCTTGACCTGTCAGGACGCCGCCTGGTCTTCACTCATCCCGTGACAACACGTGATTCGTGACATTTAGACGCTTAGACTACTATAAACTAAGACGCTTATCTTAGAGTAACTATATAAGTACTTTTAATTATACCTTTAAATTTAAATTAGTTATAACTTATATTAACCTTATTATTTAGCTACTTCCTTAATCCTGACTTTAAGCTTAAGAGCTATCTATTAGCTCTAAAGCTACTAGTTAAGAGATACTTAAGGCTTTATATGTCACGAATCACGTGCACACGTGACAAGTGAAGACCAGACGGCGTCATGACAAGCCGAGCACATATGGGCCTGGGAGCTTTATGTGTTCTGGGAAACCAAAGGGAGTTTTCTTATGTAAGCAGGAGCCGTTAATTGGTTG